TCCTGCCAGTTCTCTGCAGATCACAGATCTCCTTTGGGTGGGATCCCAAGGGCCATGGCCTCTTGAAGACTCTTAATCTTCAGCATCAACAAACCCAAGGTCTACTGTGTGGCATTTAAGGAGTTACAGACAGGGGCTGGAGAGCAGGAGTCCTCCTTGAGTCAGTGCCAGGGCAACAAGCCCTTGCTGTAATTCTCCCCCACCCTACCTGGTCTAATAGCCTTGATTATTTCTGAGGATTTCCTGAAGAAGAACTGTGACTGTCCTTACAGTGCATCTTTCATTCTTAATCCTGGGACATGGTTTTGCTTTTGGTTATAGCCATTTACCACGACTGCAGGGGACTCTTCAAGAGTGAGGGAATGTTTGCATACAAGTTAGAATTAGAAAGAACCTTCAGGTTCAAGCTCCTCCTACAGTTAGGTATAGAATTTTGATCCATGCCAGAGCCTGGGATCTGTTCACCAAAATCAACCCCCCTCCTAATACTGGGAACAAAAGTTGACCACCCCTATCGCTTCCCTGTTCTTAGTCCCATGGCCATGGGACTGAAGTTTTTCTCCAGGGCAGTGTGAGAGGAAGTGACCCGTTCAAAACTCCCACACGTACTCCTCCATGCTCCTTTCCCCTTTCAGCTGACTGGGACCCTGGGAGCCAAGGGTGGGAGGAAGAGTGACTGTAGCCAGGATCCTTTCATGACTAAGTGGAAGAGACATACCCCCCCCCACCCACCCCTGTCCCTACTGCAAGTGTGGCTTATGCAACCACTTTACTGCAATCGGGAGATCCTGCGGTTAAATGCTTTATGTGTGCCTTAGTTTACTCATCTGTAAAATAGGGACAAATTTTTCTTCACAGGGTTTTCAAACAAGTAATACGAGTTAGTGAATGATGACCACTTATTGTAGCGCCTGGCACGCAACAAATGCTCAAAAAAATCTTGACTGAATACGTATCTTCACTCCTGGAGGATTGTTGTGATATTTCAATGAAATGATCATTTTGGAAAGAGATCAAGATGGAAAAGCTAGTTGACGGAAGTGAAAAAATGATATTTCAGCCCCTTCCTCCCTCTCATTCTATGAAGCTTGAACAATGTGTAGAACTTGTCTTTTGTCCAGGGTAATGCAAGCAGGCCATTGTAGACATAATGGAATCCACAATAATGGAGAATGAGGGGGCACCTGGGTGGCTCAGTCATTGAGCATCTGCCTTCGGCTCAGGTCACGGTCCCAGGGTCCTGGGATTGAGCCCCGCGTCAGGCTCCCTGCTGGGCAGGAAGCCTGCTTCTCCCTCTCCCACTCCCCCTGCTTGTGTTCCCTCTCTCGCTGTCTCCTTCTCTGTCAGATAAATAAATAGAATCTTAAAAAAAAAAAATAATGGAGAATGAGAGAATCCATTTAATTTCAAGCCCCTCTTTTGTGCCTCCCCCAACCAATGGACAAGAATTTATAGTCTCTGGGATTGATGTTTAAATGAAGCAGCAGGGAGACAAGATGTTTCCTATCATAGGTGTTTAAAAAAAGATGACAAATTGGATGATTTACTTGGGTGATCTTTAAGGTACTGCCCAGCTCTAAGTTCTGCGATGCTTAAAAAAATAAGCGGCATTTTTTTTTAAAGTAATCTCTATGTCCAACATGGGGCTCGAACTCACAGCCCTGTTATCAACAGTCACATGCTCTACCGACTAAGCCAGCCAGGCACCCCAAAATAGACAGCATTCTGGTTTCACCTTCTCTTGACTCCTGTGCCTCCCCAAGCCCATTACCTGAGGAAGCACAAATCAGAAAGAAAATTCCCCTCGAAAGCCCAATAAGGAGAAAGAGATGCCCCTAGTGACCTCCAGTCCATGAATAATTCATACTTAAGCATCTTAGCCTGGTTTTAGAAGGAAAATCAAGTGAGGTTAACATTTAAGCAACATATCCCTTCAGTGATATTCTGGGTTCATTTTGTATTTTGGTTGGGGTACATTTTGACTCCATCATCCTCGTACAGAATTGTATGGATTTTTTTCTTTCTCTTTTAAATACAACCTCTTTCCTTCAAAGGTCTTCAGACATGGTTAAAGAGTAATGTGTGGGATCTGATAGACCTGGATTTAAATCTGGGGTGAATTAATATTCAGATTATCTGTTTCCTCGCTGTGAAGTTGGGGTTAAATATGTGCCTCATAGGGATGTCCTGACAATTATCGTGTAGAAGGTAGAAATCATCAATGCAAAGGGAACTGCACATAAATTTGCCTGGCTCCTTCCTTTCCTTTCTCTGGCGAAGGTGCAGAGGGTCTGGTTTGTGAGGCTGCGGTCCATGCAGTGACTAGGACCATCCACGGCCCGTTGGACCACTGCAGGGGACTCAGGTGGGTGAGGAGGACCTCCTTCTGCCAGCAGAGACTGCCCATCCTGCCGAAGTCTAGGTGATGCCTGCACAGTAAAGATGACAAAGTTCTGAGAAAGCTATTTTTAAATGGCTTCCTGCTGAGAGACCGGCTTTCTGGGAAGGCTTATTTCCGGCACATTGTAGCTTTCCACCTGATCGCCTGCATTCCTCCTGGTATTTATCCCCATCTGCTGGCACAGTATGAAAGGCACTACCTCCTCAGAGGCACAGACCGCATCGAAAGCCTTTTTGCTCCAGCACTGTGCAGAGGCTCAGGCCACACTGAGTTCTGGGAGGAGAGAAAGAGGAAGTTTCTGGAACAGAAGAGAAACAGGGCTTCTTATTGAAGAAGGGGAATGTTATTTTTAGTCTTGGCAGGAGTTGCTTAGTTGTTCCTCCTGGAGTCAGTTTCTCTTTAAAAGTGGTTTTCTGGTATGGGAGCTGTCAGGTTAGAGACCTGGAGAATGGTAACTCTCCGCACGTAGGACTTAAACCATCAACCGTGATTTTCCTTGTGAATCTGCCATTTGTGCAGGGCTCGGCTGAACAGTTTGTCTCTACTTGGGCGGCATCGGCTGAGGCAGCTTGAAGGTTAGACAGGTGTGAGCCAATGGCTACGACTGGAATCATCTCGAGGCTTCCCTCCCTCACACATCTGCTGGTGGTGCTGGCATTGGCTGTGACCTCAGCTGCTGGCCGAACACCTGCACGCAGCTTCTCCATGTATCCACGCGGCTCCCGCAGAGCATGGTAACAGGGTTCCAAGAGGGAGTTACCCAGGGGGCCCGGGCAGAAGCTGCATTACTTTTTCCAATCTAACCTTGGAAGCCCATCACTTCTATCCTTGTCATAGGCCTACACTGATGAGGGAGGAGCACATCTCGTAGACAGGAGACCCAGTGTTGGCCAGCTGGAAAAGGAACGTCTGCCACAGAGAGCAACGGGTGGAGGGACAGTGGCATGGGCTTATTGCTGGAAAATTAAGGAAAGTAAGGTATTTTTTTTAAAGATACAACTTTTGGGGTGCCTGGGGGGCTCAGATGGTCAAGCGTCTGCCTTCAGCTCAGGTCATGATCCCAGAGTCCTGGGATCGAGTCCCGCACTGGGCTCCCTGCTCCTTGGAAAGCCTGCTTCTCCCTCTGCGTCTGCCTCTCTCTCTCTCTCTCTCTCTCTCTCATGGATAAATAAAAATCTTAAAAAAAAACGTTAAGGATACAACTTTCAAAAACTGGAAGAACGGATTGGAGCATGTGGAGAAATGGCAATGTAATAAAACATAGAAGTAGAGTTAAAAAAAATATTTCTTTGGGACACACTGTGAAATGAAGAACCCAAACTGTTTACCTCCAGGGGACAAAGTCTTACTTAAAAAGGCCTCCTCTATTTCAAATAATCTATTTCAAGATTATTCACCCATGATTTCCAGTATTTCTAGCATTTTTATGGTTTCATTTTTGATATATTTGGAAATTATTTTGATGAAGGGAAGTAGGAGTTCAGATTGACTTCTTCCCAGTGATTAACCAGATGGAACATCTACTTATTGATTACCCATGTTTTCCTTGGGTAATAATTTCAAATCATTATCCATGATTTGAAATTTATTATATACTGAATTCCTATATATTTTGGGGTCTACTTCTGGACTCAATTATTTTAATCTTTTTATCCTCACCAAGATAATTCTCTAGCCCATGAGCTCTGGAACTAGACAGACCTGGATATAGACTCAGAAGCAGCTTAGCCACTGCCTACTTGAACTCTTGGGGCTCAATGTCCTTCTCTGTACATTGGGGATAATTCTGTATACCTGATTGGGTTATTTTCAAGATTGCATGACTTCATATGTTGTGCAGAAGTGGCCATCATTAGCTCCCAGCCCCTGTGCAGGTTGGACTCCGTGGAAGCCTGCTCTGAGATGGAGCCGGGGTGCCCTGGGACCCGCGTCTGCGGCAGGGTTGGGGAGGAAGCCGTCCTGGGCAGAGGGAAGACCGGTGCCGTGACAGACCCAAACAACAGCTCAGCCAGCAAGGGGGGCTTGGGAGCACACACAGCCCTTCACCGTCGTCCCACGCCAGGGAGCCTTTGTACACCACGTCCATCGGTGTTACTTGGGGCCATCAGGGACATGAGTGTGAGCTGGTGGGGCGGCTCTCTGTGGCTGAGGCGATCCCCAAAGGAACTGACAGGTAGAGAGGCCTTTAGCCAAGTGGGCTCCTGGCGGCTGGGTCTACACGGCCTTCATCAAAGAGGGTTCTTGGTTGCATATCACAGTGTTCATCACAGCACCCGTGTGCTGAGACCGCAGGACCTGATGCTTCGCAGGGGCCCTGAGAGCACCCTGAGGGGTGCGGAGGACTGGTGTCCAATGAGGTGGCGGGAGGTGAGGCGGTACAGCCTGAATGAAATGAGCCAAGTGAGAATTCGACAAACCCAAAGCTTTCATCTCAGCTTAAAACACTGCTCTTTTGATCTTTTTTTTTTTTTTTTTTTGGTTCATTTCTGGGTTAAAAACTGGGCTCTAAAGGGGAATGTGAATGTGATAACGGGCTGTGGAATGATCCCATGATTACAAGGAATCATCTTAGAAAAGTATTTCTGGAGATCAAACAAAATGAGATCATCAATTTGCTTTTCCTTTTATTATAAAAGTAAAATAAAAAATAGCATTTATAAATCCAACATCTTTTCCTTTAAAGTATTTGATCTAAAAAACATATTTACAATAGCAAAATGCAGAAAAGGGGGGAAAAGACCTTTTTCAGCACTGATTGTTACGTTTACATAATGACATCACATGTTCTTTTTTCAAATCACATAGATAACCACATTAGGAAAAGCAGTCAAGGCTTTTTTTTTTTTTTAATTATACACCACGTCACTTTCATTTTAAAAATATCCCTTTTCATAATCCTTAATCTGAATGCACGACAGTGCTGTGGACGGCCAGAGAGAAGACCAGGTGGGGACTGGGCCGCCTTTTAATGCCGGTGGGAGTGCGGGGGTGGGGGGCAGCAGCAGTGACAACGGGAAGCAGCTGGGAAAGCTCACTAAGCGAAATCGCCCACGGCGAGGCGGCGGGCCGGCCGGCGACCACTCGGGACCATGTGTTCGTGGATGGGACTAGTAACATTCCCGTGAGAACCGAGGAAAGAAGCCGACTTCGAAGGGCCTTGAATGAAATTCCGAGAGATTCAGGCAGGCTGGTTTTCCTCTGAGCTCCTGCGGATGCACTTCGGCTTCCTTATTTTGGACGATGGTGGAATTTCAGAGCTTTGGTTTACACGGCGTGAGGGAAAGGGCCGGCAGGCTCGATTTTGCCCTCTATGGGTCCTTCCTGTCCGCACTCGTGGGGCACTTTGCTAAGAGTCAGCAAGGAGCTGCCGCTGGTCAGAGACTCTGTAAAGCTGAGTTTGCGGAAGGACGTCTCCACGCCGCTGTCGCAGATGCTGTCGTCTCGGGCCTCGTCTGGGGGAAGAAGCACAGATTCACTGGGGCACAGCTGGGGGAAAAGGCAGAGCTGTGGCTCTCATACACCTTCTATGCCAGCCGGGCTCCGAGTCTGGCTCTAAGAGGCTCTCCGGCAGCAGCTCTGCCTGTCCCCAGGCCCCCACCCCCACCCCGTGCCACCCGCCTGTCACTATGTCCCTACTGAGCTCGCCAGCCGAGGGAGGCAGAGCCCCGAGCAACAGAAAAACCGTGAAGACATCAAAATTAGGCAAATGTTTTCAAATCTCTTTCTTACCGTCACGTTTATCAGAATCCTTTCTGATTTCTCCTAACTCATGGTGGGCCTTTTTTTCTTAGAAATCAGGTGTATTTTTCCAACCACTGTATTACCTATTTTCCAGCCGGGGAAATTGCTGAACCCAGGCAAAATAAATGCGTGACTGAAGTAGGAACTAAAAATGAGATATTTCTCTGGGCCTCACGTGCTAGTAAATGCTACACATTGCCTCAAAAACCTTCCGGTAGCAGAAAAAAAGATAAGGTGATTATGATGAAAAGGAGTCTGTGATGAACAATTAGGTCACACTGTCCTTGTTGACAAGTGTCTTTAGAGATCTGAACAATGTTGAATTATTTCCTATAGAGAGAAACTGATCAAAGAAACAAAGTCTGATATACACAAATCAAAATGCTATCTTCTCGTATATTAAGTTCCAGTATTAAAATATAAAGACCCTAAGCAGTGACACACTATTGTCTTATTACTAATTTGGTTGATTTATTGATTCATTTGATTCAGTCACCCAATCTTTGATGGGTTTCTATTATGTGTAGGAGGAATTTTAAAAATAACTACAAGTCAGAGATCAAATCAAATGTTAAAGATGTAAGTATTTTCCTATTTCTTTGTGTGGAAGGAGCATCAGGTCATGAGATAGGAGATGACGGTTGTTTTGCTGGTGGCCACATTACTCCTTCCAAAGTGTGCAACATCCGTTCTTACTCTCCTAGAAAGGCCCCTGACAAGGTGACACTTGGGCTGAAACTGAAGGGCAAGAAGGAGGCACGAGGTGAAGATCTTTGCAGGGAAGGGGAAGAGAAGGTTCCGGTCCGAAGATGGGATCAGACTTGTGAGCAAAGGGTTTGGGGGACGGGGGGGTACAGGGAAGTGGGGCAGGAGGAAAGGCACATGAAAGGGATTTGCGAGAGAGAATGGATAAAGGAACCCTGCCTTTATTACTTACTGCTCCATCTTCAGAGCCTCAAACAGGGCTAGGCACACAGGATGTGTTCAACAAAGATTTGGTGAGTGGACAGGTATAACTGGAAGGTACACAACAGGTATAACTGGAAGGTACACAACAGGTATGGGCATAGCGCTACTTTTTAAAAAGACTCTTAGTGCCTGTTGTGTCACGAGTGCACTGAAGGGAGGGGAGCAGACCGGAAGCAGGGAGACTGACCAGGAGCTGCTGCAAGAACTGAGGCAAGAAATGAAGCGTGGATGGACAAGAGAGGTTGTCCCAGCGGAAGGACTGGGGGCTACGTGCGTGTTGACTGCGAGCAGCAAGTGTCCGTGGACGAGGCTCAGATTTTTGTTTTAACCTCCTGGAGGATATGGCAGAGCTTCTGCCCGACACGGCCAACTGTTGGTCTCTCAAGGACGCGGGAATTCGGGTTGCTGCTGTGTTCTTGGTGGGGACTGAGAGAGGGAGGGTCCAGACAGAGCAAGCGCCGAGTGGTTGCTGAGAGAGTGTGAGAATACATTTGGCGGGAGACAAAGGGTTACTGGGCTGCTGGGAGTGCGTTCTGTGGCATGTTTCAGGTGGGTGACAGAGGCTCAGTGCTGGGGGCCTGGAGGAGGCGCAGGGAGAAGGTGAAACCACTTCTGGGCCGAGGTGAGGAGCTGAGGGTGCTGTGGTGGGAACTGTGGTGTCATCCCCAGTCTGGGGCCAGTCCTGGCTCTCTACGCCTTGCTCTGTGAGTTTCTTTCTCTCTTTTACATTTAAGAAGTGAGAGAAACACTATTAGCCTTAAGCAGCCACATCATGTTTAGTATTTAGTACGAATCCAAGTGACTCCCGGGTCAACGTGACTGCTTCTGGGGAGAGCAGCCCACCTGACCGGCAGCGTCAGGAGAGGCACAGAGGGGAGCACCTGTGAGCTGCGGGGGTGACAGGCACACGGCACAGGGGATGACGGCAGGGAGGACAGCCACAGCCCAAGACGCTGAGACACAGCCTGGGGAGCAGGAGGTTACCTCAGGGGCTGGTTCTGTTCTTCCCTTACCTAATGGCGACCTCGTGGAGGCAGGTGAGAGGGGCAGCGAGAGGGTCTGAGGCGCCACCTTCCCGGGGCCGGAGGCCACAGTTCCCGGGGCGCAGAAGGCCGCCTGGATCACTTCGATGGCTTCGGTGTAGCCCATCTGTCTCAGGGCCTCCACCAGCTCTCTTACTGTCCCCCCGGAGACCTGCGCGAGAGACAGGAAGTGTGTGTTCCCAAAGTGTTCCTGAGCCGGGAGCCAGCAGGTGGCCTGGGGCCACGACGCACGCCCCACTCCCCCTCTGCGAGTGCCCTGGGCCAAGAGGGCTCAGACCGAAGCCAGCTGCTGAGCCACGCGGCCTTCGCGTCGAGCTTCCTGTGTCAGCTCCGAGACTGCTCAGGAAATCAGACAAGCGGCTTCCAGTAAGCGCGGAGGGCGGCGAGGGGGAGAGGGGCTGAGGCAGTGAAACCCTACCTGCCACCAAGGTCATGCAGTATTCCTGTTTAGGCAGAAGCTCTGAAAACCACTGAGAAGCCAGAGCGAACGAGGGCATTTTCAGTAGACAATGATTTCACCTCACAGAAAACTGACTCCGTGTCCCGACACGGGATCGAGGCACGCTCTTGGGGACGGGAAGATAACGCATGTGGATCACAGTCTATCAAGTTGGTTTGGGGGGCGGTCAGAATTCGGCGACAACCCTGACCCTCTACCTAGGATTTCTGCAGGAAATCCCAAAGTATTTGAAAATCGGGAACACCTTAGGGTATCTGAAAACTGCCTTCTTCAGAAGGCGGGTTTCCACCCTGGCCTGGGTCACCTTCCCAGGACAGGGGTAATGACTGATTTTCCTCCTCCGAGTTAAGGGCGGGGGGGGGGGGGACGACCATGCCCAGGTCAGCGACGTTAACAGAAGAGAGTCAAGTACAAATGTGAGGTGATGGCTTACCTCGTAGTTGTCCATAAGAGTTTTAGAAGGAGCAGGACTCAGCCGGAAGGCATTATTCAGTATCCCCAGACCTAGTTTCTGTGCCAGAGTTGCCCAGTTCTTGTCCGGATCAGGGATTTCTAGCAACTTGTAGAGCTGCAGCTTTGCATCCTCCGTCAGCTGTTTCATGTCTCCTGAAGGAATGAAGAAGAAGCACAGCTGTCCCAAGCGACCGGAGACATCGGCGGGGACTGAGCACGGCCACGCTGCTGCCCTCGGGCTCCCAGTGGGAGCACTGAAGCTGCTTTACTTGGAGTCGGCAGCAGCCCCGCTGAGTAACAGCAGTATGCGTGCTTTAGCAGATTACAACTGGACGGTCTCCTCTGCATATGTCCAGGATCTTTCGATGCTGGAATAAGCCATCGAGCCTTTCACAGTTCGGCCTGGATAATGCTGCTTCTCCCTTAGCCCTTTACATGACTGTGTGGAGGGAACACTGGTTAAGAACTCACCTTGTGCAAGTAAATCATCAGATGTAAACTCTGGCTCATATGGTTTCCCATTTAATATATCAAACACCTGTTGGGGAGAAAACCGTGGAGAAACATTATACATTAAAGGGACCAGAACGGGAGTCAGTTTCTTTGTAATGAAGAACTGTGTCCTCCTGAGGAGGGCCTAGTACCCCAAAGATGGAGGAATGGGAAGGAGTTAGTCCCATGACCCACAAAGTCATGATAATGCCCTTTGGGCGAAGAAAAGCCCTGGGGGCTCTGGGGCCAGGAGGCGGGGCTCTGCAGGGGCTTCTGAGGTGGGTAGGAAGACCCAAGCCAACCTTGCAGAGAGCCGGCGCCATGGTCCTGCTGAAGGACAAAGACAGTCCAAGCCACCAGATCGGCCATGTGTTGGTTGGAGAGTCATCAGTAAGTGATGTGTCCCCGAGGGCCTGGATGAGGACTGAGCTTACGCAGAGCTTACACTGAAGCCAGCCATGCCTCCTCACTGCCCCTCCTCCCTAGGAAAAGCCTTCTGAGAACGAATTCTATAAACTTGCTCAAACTGAGGGACGGTAATGCTCACAAGGCTTGATGTTCTCTTTCCAGCGCCAGCTACATTTTAAACTGAAAAGTCTTAGGTTAAAAGGAAAAACACAATTCTGTAGCTATGGAGACCCTTCTGTGTGCTCTGCAGTCACTCTGTGCTCGCTGACTTAGGTGAGGACATGGGGTCACTGAAGTGGGTTATCTTTGTGTGTTCTGTGGTGAGGCTTCTGGGAAAGCCAGGTGCTCAGCATTAAAGGGGAACCATGTGGTCTCTGCCAGGGTCACTCAGCTCAACACCATGGACCTCGAAGGGGCAAATAAGCAGTTTTTGGATGTGCAGCAGCGCTTGGCCCTAAGAAAGTCAATTTTGTTGTGTTGGAGATCCATCTGCTACCCGTGTCCTCCCTCTGGCTCTTCTCCCTGGGCCGTGAAGACCTACTCACTGCTTTTCACCTTCAGACCTCAGGGCACTGGAGTTTGGAGGAAGAGTTTAAGTCTATTTACTATGTTTATAGGTATTAAAATCCTCAGAAGAATCCCTGGGTTCTTTTTATGTAAAGAAATCACTTAGCAAAGTTCTAAGCCAATTGTAACATTTCTCCTAGCTTCCGAAATAGAGACGGGGACCATTCTGGTGTGAGCTCAGAACGGGAAACTCTTGCGTGAATTTTGTGTTTTCTCTTGCGGAACCCTCTCTCACAACTTAACCGTGATCTGATTAGGCATACACTTTCATACTCATAACTCCGCTGACCTAGATCTTTCATGGATAGGCTTTTCAAGATAAATATGTCTCTTGATAAGCAGACTTTCTTAAAAATAAAAGGCTTGCTCTTTGGGGAGTAAAAACCCAAGAAGACCATCTGTTCTTATATTCCTGAATCATTAGCTCCCTCCGGAGCTGCCCTCAAACAGACTGGAGCCACACGTACCTGCCAGTTGGTGGCCATATCTAGAGGTGTGGTTCCAGGCACGACTCCTTCATCCTCTCCATCTTTTTCCCAAGAGTCATCCAGGTCATAGAGAGGCTCAAAGTTCTCCACCAGGGGATCTGCACCTGTTAAGTCAAGTTACACAGCATTAGGTAAACCCCGATCCTGTCGACTCTGAAATGCCTGCAGAGGTCAGATTTCCAAAGGCAAAGCACAACAGCTACTCGAGGCAATTATTTGGATAATTTTTATTACATAAAACATGCTTCCACTGAAATATTCAGAGAACTTCTTTTAAATTCTAATTTATTTTGACTGTAAAGATGTCTTATGATACTCTATATAGCCAAGGACATTTTCAAAGACAAAAGACTTGGAAGTACCCTGACCCTCACATTTAACTCTCTCTGACAGGTTTCAACCAAATGATACACCTTTAAGCTGAGGAGTAACAGCAGCAATTTATAGGGGCTGGGCTGCACCCTTAGGATTCAGGACCTAATTTAATGTTCAAGTTCTTGCCCACCACTGCACATGTCTCAGGCTGTTCTCCCACTTGCTCAAAAGAGCGAACTTTGCTGTATAGGGACAACAGGCTCACTTTTATTCCTGGACACAGCACTGCCAGGGTCCCGATCCTTAAACAGACGAACACCGTAAAAACCTTCTCCTACGATGTATAGTAATTGAAAATTTTAGGGCTGATCTTGGAAAAATCTAGTCTGTTTCTTAATGTGCAGCAAGAAAACACCAAAAGTAACTCAGAGATTAGAGCTAGTTACCTCTTAGAGGCTTAGAGACTATTTTTATGAGAGTGTTTAGTCTAATGTCTAACGAACAGTAGTCAGTTCAGTACACCCTTCTGGGAAGAACTTGTTTTTATCTTGCTGGGAGATCATTTGCTTTGTGCCAACTTCAATAACAGGAGAGGGCCTAATGAGAGTCAGAGAAGGATCTTCATGCTGTTTCTTATTTCAGCCTTCCAGCCCGGGCCTGATCTAGAAGGCAGTGAGTGCCATCTGACCATGGAAACAGAATAGAAACAAGAGGAACAATTTATGGGCTGGAGAAAGCTAGAGGAGCTAAGCTATCTGTTCCCGAAGTTACCTTCTTCATGACTGGGAGCTCAGGACTAGGTTTTTCACCAGAGTGCCTTCATTTATATCATGGAGAAACTGTTACTCGCCACTCCTTTCATGGGATATTAAGAATTCAAGAGAAAGCATTTTTGAAAGGGTTATAGCTTCTTGTCTGAAGGCATTTCTTAATTATAACCAGTGACTTCCCAAACTATTCATACATTCTGCAATCGGAGTCTCTTGTCCAAGAGAAAGTTTGACTTGACCGAGACGAAGAAAAGAAAAGGCAATTGTTTATTTGGATGTGATTTTATTTGCTTAGAAGTATGTGGGGCTCCCAAAGAAAAAGTCTGTACATCTTTCTGGACTCAGTTTTTAAAGAGGTATTTAACTCGCTCTGTTTTCTTGAATTTATCAAGCATTTATTTTCTAAAAAAGTTTTAAATAACCTCTATAGTAAATCAGGTAGCTCAAGGTTTGAGAGACTACTCCCACTAAGCATGTGTTGAGGTTCTAAGTATACAAGGCAAGAGAGATTCAAGGGTGAGCAGGGATAATCTTCTATGCTTCACAGAACTAGAGAATTAAATGGAATAACACCTGCAGATCCCTGAGCAGAGCAGGGGAGAGAAACAGTAGAGAGAATAGTCTGGAAGCTCAGATGGACGAGCTGTGATTCATAGTTATGCCTTTACTAGGACCCCAGGACTGGGTCCCACAGGTCTCTTCAGTCTGTTTCGTCTGCTGTGAGGTGGGAAAAATAATAATGGTACTTACCTCTAAGGGTTGTTGCAGATTAAATGAGACAGCGCGTCTGACAGGCCTAGCACAGGGCCTGACACATAGTAAGGTCAATAAATGCTAGCAAGTTCTAGTGCCTGACATACGGTAGTACTCAATACACTGCCCATTTGTTTTTTCCTATTATTTCTACTTCTAAGGGACCTCTCTTGCTGAAGGAAATTTTAAAATGTCTTCTACCAATCAACTTTTTTCCTGGAGACTTCTGACATGATCTGAGGCTGGTACTGTATCCGATTTCTTTAAGGAATCAAATTCAACTTTAAGAAGATCTCCTGTCATGGGAGCCAACCTAAACCACCAATATCCAAAACAAACGGATGAACTAGAGGGTAAAGACTGACATGACCATCAGGATGGAGCCCAGGATTACAAGTCCCAGCAGTGCCATTCCAGGGGGCCGTGGAAGTGTGACTTTTATTTACTCCTGCATTTCAGCAGGAGCTCCTCGGCTTACAGAAGGAGGCGGGGCTGTTCAACCCGGAGGAGTTGCGTTTGCATTCCCCATAGCACGGTCCAGCTCTACCCGCCAGGCCGCCTTCCTTACCTGCCGCTTTGAGAAGAGCTGCCAGCCTGGTGGACCCTCTCCCGGCTGCTATGTGAAGGGCTGTAGTCCCATCATAGGTGGTACTGTCTACATGGGCATCACCCTAAAATCCAGCCCACACAGGAAAGAGTTAGTGGAAGGTTCTCTCCCCCTTTAGACCCCACCTTCTCCTGTCAGCAGGAGCCCTAGGTCCTAGAAAAGGTCTTATTACTAGCCCGGTTGCTATTTGGGGCGGGCTCTGCCACTCGAGAAATGCGCAGTTAGAGAGAAGGGGCCGATGGTGTCAGGACTGTCCAAAGCTGACTACCCCGAAGCCTCGAGTAGCTATGGAATAAAGAGAGGTGACCTCAGGGGGAAAGGCTGTTACTGACATCACTCCTTGAAAAGACGGTCCTAATGCCCCCTTGGGAATTCAACGCAAAGGCAAACACGCGCGTCGGTCACCTCCAGGAGCAGGCAGCCCGCCAGGGAGACGTTGTCGCGCTCCACGGCCAGGTGCAGCGCCGTGCGCCCGGACTTCCGCTCCTGCGCGTTGACGTCGGCGCCGGCTGCCGCCAGCAGCAGCAGGCACGGCATGCTGTTGCTCGTCACGGCTACGTGAATGGCGTTTAGACCTGCGGCCCAAGCACAGGGACGGTCATGCAGCTGGGAGGCTGCTCACAAGGCGGCAAAACTGGACCCCAGGGAGGGAATGCTGTCGACTCTCAGCACATCTAGTGTCTCTGCTCCAGAGAGCCTGGCAAGGCGCCGCAAGTCTGTTGTTCTGCATGGAAACCCACGGTCTCCTCGTATGTTCTCAGGAGACACTGAGGGCAAATAAACATTGTTTGGATAAACGATGCTTTCTACACCTCAAGACCAGTGTTTGCTCAGGCCTCTGCTTTTTCCACCTCCTAACAATTCCAAATCATCTTTAAAGAAATTAGGGCGAGCAACAGAAATTCTCGAGAGAGATGACAAACTCCAGGTGACTAAGGGAAGCACTTTTGGGTGCAAATCAAAGAACACACATTTAGCAAGTAGCTACCAATTGTTTAGAAAGCAGAGAGAGAAGGTTATCCACAAAGTCTGCTTGTCTCTTACCTTCCCCGTTAGGGTGGTCCATCAGTAGTGCTGCCTTCTTGTGCTTGAGTAAAATACTGAGAATTTTATCTTGTCCTTCTTTGGCAGCTAGGTGCAAAACAGAGTTACCCAAGCGGTCCAGAAGGCTCAGGTCGGCCCCAGCCCGCAGCAAGTCCTCCACCACAGCCTCCTGCTTGGTGATCACTGCCAGGTGCAAGGGTGTCTGGGGAGTGGAGAAGGGTCAGGAGATACACTGGTCAGCGGCAAACACTTGAACCGCCCCCTCCCCGGGCTTGAACCTATGGGTTTCGTGGCTGCGCTGCAATAGGCGGCCTCATGCCTCGGGGCCGTTTCCCATTGCCAGATTAACTCCTCTCTTTTGCAAATGAGTTACGCCCTGTTCCATGTCCTATGCTAATGAAGTGTGTATGCCGGACTGATACTGAGCCCGCGATAATTAAGATTATTTTTATATTTACAATTCTTAATCGCTTTCTTGTTTCTCATTACAGCCTGCTGACTGCTGATACGTTAATTCTTCTCTTAATAAATTTAGTTTCCTTGAATTTGTAGCAGGAATCTATCTTCAGCTGATAATTTTGTATATTAACAAATCAAAGCAAGGCTATAGTTTTACTAAAGAGGGTGAAATGAACTAACTACTCAATAGAAACCAATTCACAAAGGTGCTGTCATTCTATATTGACGTGGAAAGTGAGTTTGCTGAAGTAAAAAATATTTTTCCGTGGGCTGGCTCTGTGATGAGACCAATCAATAGAACTCTGGGGCACCCCCATTTTATAGCAGGTGTCAAAGGATTCTAAATGTCATAACCAGGACGATAGAACCGTCTCAGTAAGAGGGCTCAGATGAACAAGCGAGCCGAATCGCTAACACCTAATAGGTGCATACACAGTCCATTTGATTACTCTGCCCACAAAGTAGTGCCTCGGTGAATGCAAATGAGATGTTTTGCAAGCTGAGTGTTTTCAAAATGAGCAAGACAAACAAAACTGCGAAAGTATCTTTCAAAGAACTGAGGCCACTGACAGAATGAGATATTTTTATACAAATCAGAATCCAGTCTGTCTAGTGACAATTTGCCTAAACTTTCTCTCTCGGTAGGCGATTCCTGGCCACAGCAGCGACAACAAGGGTAAGCCACCGACGCCGGGGCTGATGCAGGACAACCACAGCCCAGGAGGCGCTGCAAGATGCTCCCGCGGCTTCCGCTCCGTTACAGTGATAACTGCAGACAGCAGAAGCCAGACAGGCTTTTGGGCCAAATTTCCATTCTCTCTTTTTTTCATCTTTTATACCCCAGCTTGAAATAGAATGATGTCCTCAAAAACTTTAGATACTGTAGCCAAGAGCCTTCTTCTTAAGAAATAAATATGTAAAAAAAAAAAAAGTACATTTATTAATATGACATGCTATCTGGGGAGATGAAAAAAATCTGAGAGAGAATGAGATTGTAAAAATGATCTGAAATTATAAAATATTAAACCACTCAGAAATTTGTAATTATCTCTAGTTTTAATATGATTTTTTTCACGTTATACAAATTCTGTTACTATGAGTAAGAGAAGCTTTTTTTTTTTTTTTTTTAAAAAAACATAGTCCCACTGAAGGTTTTCTATGAAATTTCAGGCTTTAGATCTTTAACCCCAGGATTATATAACACAGTGTGGACTGTGTGTGAGAGTATAGTAAAATATCTATATTTATTTCAAGTGTATATGTTTACGTAGCCACCATCTGGAAAAGTACTTACAAATGCAATAGTTATATTTGGGAGTGGGGTTGGGGGACTTGTATACTGCCAGGGAGGGCAACTTCTGATTTTCCAGTGTATTTCCTTATGTACGATTTAAAGAACTATGAACATATATTATATTTATAAAAATTAAAAACATAGAAGAAAAAAAATCCACATGCACAAAACCCCTCATTAATAAATGTTTTATCTGCATATAAAACAATCCATATCAAACACACTGGAGGGGTGATCTATGGTGGGGAGACAAGAAGAGGAGAGGGCTTGAAGGCAAAAGATTTCAGAAATTTTCAGAAGAATCCTAACTCTATGCACTGGGATTATTTTGAGTGTATCTCTAGAGAGTGGGTGGGAAGAGAGATTTGATCATGACAGATGGTCACAGAAATGTACTAAGATTAGTGAATGGTATTTTGGGAGATTGTCTAAGACAATTGCCAAATAATCCAAATTACTTAGAGAACTGTATAATTTTTCCATCGAGAATAGTTACCAGAGAAACTTTACAAAGATAAACGAGTCCAAATTTTAGCCTTTTCTAGTTCTCAAATTGAAGTTGCCGCTGGGTGTATGTCTGAGACCTAGAAGGCATTACCAGGGGATCCCAGAATCCCTGTCCATGAATGAGAGCGGTGCTAAGTTGGGGGAAAATGGACCTGTGTTCTCCCGAGAGTCCCCAAATCGGAAGGGAAGAAGCGTCAAAGGTGGTGGTTTCAAGATTTTTGTGTCTAGCACATCAGAGAGAGTCTCAATATACGGCACCAAATGATACAGTAAGGAGGTCAGCACATAATAAATCACGACTACTCATCCTGTTGTGCGGTGTCCTTTGCAGGGCCTATTTATAAACAAAAACAAGTAATTCCTTGAATCTGACCTACAGCCAGCGAAGCGAAGCAGTCTTTGAAAGGAGGACCGAGAAGCGACAGCGTGCCATTCGTTCCCAGTTTTATTTGCACGCTCGTGCCGGTTGAGAGGAACAATCAGTCCTAAAGCCTGAGAGAGTCAAGCTTTCAGGGCCAGATGACTCTCCAAATACCAACAACCCCCAAGATGGTATGAAAATCTTAAGACATTCTTTAAATGTCTACCTAAAATTAGACTTCACCCTCATTACTTTATGAGTCAGTGAAGAATCCCCAACTTCGTTCTTCCGTTGACATTAAGCATTACCACCAGGGAAGGAGCTGAAAGCCTTACATCAAATGGGAAGCTTATTTCCCTTAATAAGGAAACACCTATTCACACATAACAATCTAGTGAGAGCTGCATGTCAACATTGTAGTTCTTTTGCTTCGAGGAGATAAAAATGATTCACAGCACCTGCTTTAACAACTCAGAACTGGAACAGGTACCTTTACTGTGCAATTAATTGTACATGATTGTGGGCCATATTTTTAGAGTGACAGGTATGCTCGGACCAGGCATCTTTGAGCACACTGTCCAGGCCAACGAGGGCTGGGAAGTCACTTCGGGTGGAGCGAACAGAAGGAGAAAATGAGAAAGCTGACAAGGGGCGAGATCAGGAGACTGGCACCAAAGCCAGGTAGGGTGGGGGCAAAGGCAGCTGGGAGAGGAGAGCGCCCCTTTGGCCAGAGTGGCTGGGTCAGGTCTCAGGCTCCCAACACCAGGCTCCAGGCTTTGGTTCTGCCAAGTGCAGCTCCAATTTCCTTTGCCCACCTAAGGTCTGCACGTGCCCATCAGGCAGCCTCACTGGGTCCCAGCTACCTTCTCTCGGCAACATCTGAGGACCTCTGTACCAGGGTTCCTCAAGTTGCTTTTGAACCCACAGAATTCCTGTTCAAACCCAATCTGAGCAAAACTCTGGTGTTTCCTGTTTTCCTTGATTTGAGTTTTCTGTTTTTGAAAGATGCTTTCTCGTCAACCAACCTTTTTTTACTTTTCTGTGTTCTGATTTCAGCACCCTTTATTTGATATACACTTAATCTAGATGTTGTCAAATGTGTTTCAGCAGACTTCAAAATTCTTACACATTATTGGCTTTCGAAACTTAATTTTTTTCAATTGTATTTTTCTTGACAGAAGTGACATATTTACTCTAGGTTCTCCTGTACTGCATATTTGAAAGTTGTTACGAGAATAGATCTAAAAGTTCTTATCACAAGAAAAAAAATTTGTAACTATAGGCAGTGATGGATGACATGTAAACCTATTTTGGTGATCTTTTTGCGATATATACAAATATCGAATTACTGGACACCTTAAACTAATACAATGTTATATGTCAATTATATTTCAATTTAAACAAGAAGAAAAAGATGCTCAACATCACTCATCATCAGGGAAATGCAAATCAAAACCACAGTGAGATATCACCTCACAACTGTCAGAATGGCTAAAATCAAAACCACAAGAAACAAGCGTTGATGAGGATGTGGAAAAAAAGGAATCCTCTTGCACTACTGGTAGGAATGCAAGCTGGTGCAGCCTCTGTGGAGAACAGTGTGGAGGTTCCTCAAAAAATTAAAAATAGAGCTACCCTACAACCCAGTAATCCCACTATTGGGTATCTACCCCCAAAATACAAAAACACTAATTCAAAGGAATCCATGTACCCCTATGTTTATAGCAACATTACCTACAATAGTCAAACCATGGAAGCAGCCTAAGTGTCATCGACAGACGAACGGACAAAGAAGTGATACACACACACACGTACACACACACACACACGTACACACACACATACACACACGCACACACACAGTGGAGTAATATTCAGCCATAAAAAAGAATGAAATCTTGCCATTTACAACAACATGGAAGGAGCTAGAGAGTATAATGCTAAGTGAAATAAGTCAGAGAAAGACAAATATCACACGATTTCACTCTGATGTGGAATTTAAGAAACAAAACAAACAAGCAAAGGGAAAAAAAAAAGAGAGGGACAAACCAAGAAACAGACCCTTAACTACAGAGAACAAACTGATGGCTACCACGGGGGAGGAGGGTGGGGGATGGGTGAAATAGGGGATGGGGATTAAAAAGTACACTTATTATAATGAAAAGAATAAAATAAATTTGAAAAACAAAAAAAAAGAAAATGGATCAACTCTTTGACAGATTTCTAAAGTTTGAACTTTGCCTTCCCCCAGCAGGATGCTGAATTTCCTTGTGGAGTGATTTCTATTATACTCACAGATTAAAGGATCCTGAATCATAAATAATATTCCCAAGTTATGGGCTTTTAGGATTTAACCTACAAAACAAAGCACTGTATTTGTGCTACTGTTAACATTAGAAATAACACGTACACACATGCACACACACACACGTAAGCATGTACAAACTGGATTTTTCTTCAGTTGGCATTTCTGCTTACCTGGTAGAGATCATTTCTCATATTGATAATGTCATCAGAAATCAAACCAGATGTGACTTCTAGTAGATCCCTCACAAGCTGAGCATGAAGATGGATGATTGCTAAGTGTAAGACACTGGAACAAAAACAGAGTGACACGAATCAACTAAAGGGTTAGTGTAAAAAAAAAAAAAAAGATTCCCAAGAAAGGATCAGACTTGCAGACCGAACCTGGTTCTCATACTTCCTTTTATTTGGCCCCCAAATGTCTTGAATCTCAAATGTCTTGAATCTGAGGCGGGAATGTTCTACTGCCTACGCAGGCAGCTACACTCTTTTACCATGCCTGCCTGGCCTCTGGGGACATTTTGGTCTGACCTCGTGAGGCATAAAAGCACCTGGGCCTCGAGGGAAAGAGACGCAAGTTCAAATCCCAACTCTGCCTCCGTGTGATAGTTCAGGGCATTTTCTCTTCTAGCTTTTTCCTGGCTTCTGTTGACATACAGATGACGTATGTAAAATGCCCGGCCCTAGGAACTGTTCAGGAAAATGTAGTTACCTCCCCTAACCTTCCAGCCTCCTCCAAAATACAGTGTGGTGGCTTCTGAAAGATCTTCCTAGATCCCAAGAAGGGCGAGTGGGATCAGGCATTTCACTACTGGGAGAGGACTCTTGAGGTAAACTTCTGAAGGAACATGTGATTTTATTTCTGCCTTGCAAATACTCCCCCTGCCTGCAATGGTTTTGCTCCTCTTCTCTGCCTGGACAGTGCCTACTCCACCCTTCATATTCTGGTTCAAACCTTACCTCCTCTTCGAACTTCCTAGGCAGAGCACATGGTCTCCCCTCAAGTTTACTGCTTGGTTATGCAACTGCGGTTTTCTGTCTTTCCCCCTCTCTGGCCTGTGATCTCAGGGCTGGTCCTCCCTGGGTCAGCCTTACAGCCCTGGCACACAATTCAGGCACTAAAATAAGGGTGACAGAATGAGCCTCAGGGCTTATGCTAATAAGGCTGAAAATATTGGCAGGTGCCAAGCATCAGTCCTAGGGACACAAAAAAATTTTTTAAAGATTTTATTTATTTGTCAGAGAGAGAGAGAGAGAGAGAAAGAGAGAGAGCTCGCACAAGCAGGGGGGAGGGGCAGAGAAAGAAGCAGGCTCTCCGCTGAGCAAGGAGCCCAATATGGGACTCGATCCCAGGACCCTGGGATCATGACCCGAGCCGAAGGCAGACGCTTAACTGACTGAGCCACCCAGGTGTCCCGACACAATTTTTTAATTGTTAAAAAAACTTACTACTAAAAATAATTTGAAAGGACTCAAAAAAGTGGATACTTTGGGTTTAGAGCTTCTATTTACCAGGCCATGCTAAGTAGTTGACATATATGACCTGATTTATTGTAACAAGAAGCCCAATGAGGTAGGTAATATTATCCTCATTTTTCAGATGATGAAATTGGGACTCACAGGTATAACAACTCAACCCACGTCACTTAGCTAGTGAGTGGCGAAGCTGGGAGCCCAGCCCAAGTCCAGTCCATCTGGCTCCAAAGCCACCTCTTCCTAATCCCTTAAGGCATCCCGATGTAGGAGGACATAGGCACTGCTCTGTAGAGCTGCAGATGAACCCCCAAGATAAGGAATATGCCAAAGTATGGACAGATTGCGATGGAGAGCATACTGAGTATCGCATGGTGGCAGGACATCTGGGATTTGAGGCACAGGCTAGATTTTGTCCAGTTGAAACATCTGAGGTGTCATGTTTTCAGGCCTCTTTCTTAGCAACAGTAAGTGCATCTTACTAGGGATTAACGTTGGCACAAGAGGGCCTAAAAAAACGAACTTGTGACTTCATTACTTGAGAGAGCAAACGAATGATGTCGAGGTTTCACTACTGTCTCTTGAAATGTGAGGCTGGAAGAAGCCTTCTAAAAAGGGCCCGAAGTCTGACGCAGACATGATGCACATATACCAAGAAAAAGGTCATATTTCAAAACTGCCTAAAAATTTCCATGCGCAGCTCAGCATTTCACCGAAGTACCTTCTCCCTCCCCCATAAATCTTCACACCCTCATGGGAATGTCCCCAACACCAGAAGTTCTTTTCTTCTCTTTATTGTATTTTCTGTGATGACTAATGGCTCCAGGACTCAGATTATTAGCTGAGTGTGACAAGTTCAATGAAAACAGCCCTGAGGTGTGAGGACCAGCAGCTTTCCCCTGGCCACATTCTCATGAGGGTTCCTCTTGGGTCTCCCCTCTCCACCTCCAGCTGCGGCAAACCCTGAGAGCCTGCTGGCAGGAGTATATCTGGGATCCCAGGAGGGGACTCGAAGGATTCATGTTCTGCTTGGGCAGGGAAGACCACCTCCTGGGCCCCTCCGTATGCGTCCTTACACGTGCCTGCACCTGCCCCTCCATGCACCCACTGAATGCATGCACCTTGTAGCTTCTGCACAACCCTCCCTCCATAGGCCGCAGGCTCCCGCTAGCTTCCACGTGCTCATCTTTCTTAGGCTCCTCAATTCCGCAGGCCCATAAAAATGTCACCTGAAACACTGTTGTCTTGGGTAACTGGCTGCTTTCTCTTGTGGTTCTATGCTGCTGAATGCTAATTGGAGTCTTCAACCCCGTAAAAGCATTCTGCTGTTCACAGCATTACACAAAGGAGGCTGTACCAGTTCCTCTCGTACTGTATTAACAAGGCCAGTGGTTATACCACATCCTTGGTTACGCTGCAAGGAATGAGAACAAAGGTCTCTGTTTGAAACCCTGAGGTTGGCACTTTCCTAAAGCGTTCGGTTCAGTGTTTAAACCGAGGCTTAAAACGCAACACTCAAGAGCTCCTCTACAGAAAAGGATTTCTCGGGGTTGACACTATTTTTGGAAAGTTTTAGATAAGGCACTTGACTTGAATCTGAGGGCCGTTGTCTCTTGTTGTTCTCACAGGCTTTTGAGATCATTTTAGGAGCCTCAGTGCAAGGCCCAAGAGAACGGTTTTAGAAAGGAGCCAGGTGCTTTGCCAATATCAGCTCAGTAACAGCAGAGATTGACCACCGGTGCTTGGAATGCTCGCCTCCCACATGGCCTGAGGTAGAGCAGACACAGGGGCCTGACCGGTCACAGACTGGCAACCAGTAACGAAGGCAGGAGCGAAGGAACCAGTGCCTGGGAAAGAATGACAGTCGGCTCTTAATTGTTCTGTTGTTGTCCTTGCGCTGTCTTCTTTGGGCTTTTTCTTGAGTACACAGCCATCGTAAATACGCAGTTGGGGTAACAAGTGCTTGAGGGATCTGGTTGGACCAAATTTTATTATTATACCATTTCAGTAAATAAAGCAAATGTTATTAATCCCATAAATAAATAGGTCTATTAAATGTTATTCCACATGTTATCCCAATAAATAAAGAAAGGTTTTTGAAAAAGTACCACCATTCCCCACACACGTCTTCGTTTTCTTGCCCAGAACGATGTACTCTCAGATGAGGACTCGAGCTACGCTAGGGCCCAACAGGTGAGAGCCATGGGACAGGAGAAGCAAAGTAGGGATGCGACCTTACTGACACATTATTGTCCACCACAGTCTTCCAGTGACAGGACCCAGTACCTTTAAATGATTCTTTTTATCTCCAGCCAGTGGGCATACAGTGATTTTCTCTGTTCCCGACCCGAAAACAACTTTTGTTTGCACAAGTCCTGACTTACCTGTCCCCATTCTCATCCTGCACTGCAGTGAGGTGGCGCTGGACAGCCAGCAGCATCTTCACATCTCCTGTCACCGCATAGTCAAAAAGGGCGTTGGCATGCCGCTTGGCCAGCTGCATAGCCTTCTCTAGAAAGAGCTCATCTGCAAGGCAATGACCACAATCACAGTTGAGCCTCCTATACTTGCTCTATAGGTACGGCATGCTCGAGGTCAAAACCATCAGCATCAGGGTTCTGATACCTCGACACACATCGTTTGAGTTGCAAATGCTCCTTTCAGTACTTCTGCACTGTGTTCACTAGAAAAAGCACAATTGGACATTGGCTTACTAACAAATACAGAGGCTGATCTGAAAAATCGGTCTGTGGTTTGTCAGGGGAAACAAATTTAGAAATGTCTGTTATCTTAGGGGAACACTCAATCTCTAAATAATGTTGATTTGATTTACTATACTGTAAATAATCCATCTCCTGATGAAATAATCCTTCACTGGAGTCTTAAACAACTCTCCAGTTAGACAAAGTGTCAAAAAACACAGACAGACTTTCCATAGGCTTTCGGTGTGCTTGTGAAGTTTGCTTCTGGAAGGTCAGGGGAAGGCAAATTGAGATCTGCAGGCCAAAACCATGGGTGGCCTGTTTTTATATGATCCCCCCACCTAACTAACCATGCTTTGTACATTTTTAAAGTGGTGTTAAAAAAAAAAAAAGAATATGTGACAGAGACCATAAGTGGCCAACAAGTAGAAATATTTGCCATCTTTCCCTTCCCTTTACTCTAATGAGCACTGGTTCAAAATATGCGCAGAAGTGCTCGGTCCCTCTTAATCCTAATTGTTCAAAGAGGGCATCAGGGCAAAAGGAAACGGCCTTATTTTCAGGCAAAGTTCTACTTCGGTATGGCAGTCAAGCTATAGTCTCGAGAGATGAGACTATTAAAGTTATGGAAACTTTTCCCTATTATCTGTGATAGAAATGAATTAGATGATCGCTCAGGATACCCTAAAACTGCATAATTATGATTGGAGAACGCGTACGTAAACTTCAGTACTTTATATTCGAGAACAACACGCAGAAAATGGAAATCTCGGTGTGAATAAAATGTTCAGACACATGTTTTTCAAAAAGCACACAGGACTCTGAAGAGCAAGCACACTGAACTACGTACCGATGCATCGTTTTTAGATTAACAGAAAATAAACCTGTGTTTTGGCAAAAGTCTCCACACCTCCAACCACAACCCAACTCCTCACCAGTCAGTACAATGTAATCGTGTGTACACTCACTTACCCTGAAACCTACAGTTCTCTCCCTTTACTCCCACTGTATACGTCAGAGCAACCTCGTCATCCCCAGTGCTGGACTCCTTATCTTGTTCTGTGGGTTCAGTTACTTTCCCAGGGAGGCTGGCCGCCTCTCTGTCCACACTCTTTCCACAACCTTCAGAATCATTTTTAGATGGGGTGTCTATGGTTCCTAAGATAAAAGCAAAAATATCAGCTTTTTCTCAGTAAAATCTATTCAGTTATAATTTACTGTTTCAACTGTCAGATAAAGATGGGAGGCAAGTTTACTGCAAAGGGAAAAAAAAAAAACCCAGTAATTTCAAATTCCTTTTAAAACAGTCAAATCATTGAGTAACCTGTTTGGGGGCTATTTTAAATGCTCACTTCTAAAAGACACATTTTTACTGAGGCATAATTGACATATAACATTATATTAGTTTCAGGTGTACAGTATAATGGTTTGATATTTGTATATATTGTCAAATGATCACCACAATAATTAACATCAGTCAGCACATATAGTCATAAAGTTTTTTTCTTGTGATGAGGAACTTTTAAGATCTTAAAAAATTATTTATACTTCTAAAGACTTACCTTTCATTCTGTTTATTTGTAAAGGAGAAAAAAAGAAATACAGCTCTTCTGTGAATTGTAGGGAAGTAGTTTTTGTTTTTTTTTTTAAAGTGGGCTCCATGCCCAGCATGGGGTTTTGAACTCACGACCTTGAGATCAAGACCTGAGCTGAAATCAAGAGTTCAATGCTTAACTGACTGAGCCACCCAGGCGCCCCTGGGAAGTGGAATTTTTTAAGTTTAAATAAAAACAGAGGAATTATTTTTTTCCTAATGCTATTTAACCAAGCAAGTTGTTAAGATGTGATATCAAGTCACGTTCTTTAGTGTGGGAGCTACTTGGGGCGCCATTTCTGTGCTCTTTTAGGGCCGACCACGCTATCTGACACGTGCTCTGAGAACACCTAGGTTTTATGAGCAGAACTGGCTCAAATCCCGGTTCTGCTGTTAACAGGTATGTGCCTTCAGGGGGTGAATGAACATGTCGGAACCTCAGTGTCCTCTGTCTGTAAAATGGAGACACTACTATTTTCCTTACAGAGCAATCGTGAAGATTACAGTTAAAATATGTAGCAGCCCCTGACATAAAACAGGCATTCCATACATGGGAAGGCTTCATTGTATTATCTCTTCAACGGGTAGACTAGAATGGATGTGCAATATAAATTATGAACCCGTGGTGTGACAACTGCAAATTAGGGGATGCATTTGATGGGAAAGGCCATTCCTATAAAACTCAAAATATCTGCAAAAGTATAGTATTTGAGAAGAAAAAAAAAAAAGGGAAAGAATAGCTAAGTTTGGTGACTTTTTTATGTTTGAAGAGTCAAGTCTTTCTATATGTCCCTTCTTAATGTTCTTTTCCTCCCCCTGGTCATGCCACTTACAAAGTCAATATATAAGTATAAACACAGCACTGGGAATAGAATTTATATTCACCACAGGGAATAATATTTTTTTTTGAAAAGTACCTTCTTAGTTTATCGGCATTTATCAATTTTTTTTTTCCAAGGTGACAATGTTGTGATAGGTAATGATAAAAAACTTCTTGGCATTAATTTTTTTATTCCTTTCTCACTATTAAAAAAACTACCTTACTTACCGTGTTTCATCCCGGCATTAGATTTAGTGGTTCCAGGATGGAAGGTAATTCCACTGTATGTAGGAAATCCATAGTGAGGGAAGCCGTACCCTGAAATGGCAAGCAAAACAACTGAAACCTCATGATGTTTTGTTTTTTTGGTGTTTTGTTGTTGTTGTTGATGTTGTTTTTTAACAAAGACTCAGCCAAGCTTGGTGTCTTTTCCTAAGGTGAGCACAGGCTCTGGTGTGGGAGGGCAGTGTGCCCGATATGGCGCTTCCGTTGGGAGTTAGCAAGACACATTGTGGGGGATCGTGGGATGATCAGAATTCCACTCTGATCAAATTTACATTTTGGCAACTCCGGCAATGCCCAGGCTTGGGGCAGCATGGAGGAGTGTTTGCTGGAGAAAGGCTCCCACTCGTGTGTGGAAAGGAGAAGCCAATGGTGAGTGGTCACCACCCAAACTCAGACTTGTAGACACAGAGGACCTTGAAATAACCTCTGGCGGTTAAAAGTGAACCAAACAAAATACAGAAAAAATACTGACTCCTCAAAGGAAACATGGCCACACTGTTCATTCTCAGGCATTTTTGGTGAAAGCATAAACTCGTATGTAAAACTCTTTGGAGACCATCAAAAAAGTCGAAATCTTGCCATTTGCAACGACTTGGATGGAACTAGGGGGTATTATGCTAAGCGAAATAAGTCAATCAGAGAAAGACATGTATTATATGATCTCACTGATATGAGGAATTCTTAATCTCAGGAAACAAACTGAGGGTTGCTGGAGTGGTGGGGGTTGGGAGGGATGGGGTGGCTGGGTGATAGACACTGGAGAGGGTATGTGCTATTGTGAGCACTGTAAATTGTGTAAGACTGTTGAATCACAGACCTGTACCTCTGAAACAAATAACACATTATATGTTAAAAAAAAAAAAAAGATAGTAGGAAGGGAAAAATGGGGGGGTATCAGAGGGGGAGATGAACCATGAGAGACTATGGACTGAGAAACAGACTGAGGGTTCTAGAGGGGAGGGGGGTGGGGGGATGGGTTAGCCTGGTGATGGGTATTAAAAGAGGGCATAACTGGGTGTTAGATGCAAACAATGAATCGTGGAACACTACATCAAAAACTAATGATGTAATGTATGGTGATTAACATAATAAAAAAAACTAAAAAACTCTTTGGGGGAAGCAGCTGGTATTAGACGTCATACTCTCTGACACTGTAATTTTACTCCATTCCAAAGAATCTAATTTACAAAAACAATCTGGAATAAAAGAAAAGCAATGTGGACAAAGGAGTTCAGCAAAGGACAGTAAAAAACAGGAAACACATTCAAGTAAGTAGTGCTACGAATCATTAAACTGATGCTTAAAATATTATGCTTATATAAAATTTATATTGCCACAGGGAAATGCTTATGTTCCTTTAACCCATTAGGGAAAAGCAGCATATATGACTCTATATACACAATCATGATGTGTTGATAATAAATCATACAGGTAAAGAGATTAAAATACTATGCATTATGAGGACTGCAGCTTTTGAAATTTGAAATTGCAAATGCAAAAAATACATAGCATAATTGCACAGAAAAAAAAATGTGAGGAAGTTAACCTTCAATGGCAGGATTTTATTATCTTCAGATTTTCTACAATGTAGTATATATAATATGAAATCCTTTCAATGTTTCCAAAGAAAACCAAGACAGTAGGGAAGGGAGGGACGGGAGGGAAGGAAGGATGAAAGAAAGGGGAAATATACCAAAACGTTAATAGACACAGTCTTCAGATAACTGGCCTTGGGTGACTTTTTTTCTTCTTTACCGCTTTTGATGTTACCTACGTATTGCAAGATGAACGTGCGTTTCTTTGAAAAATTCTGTTGGGAAATTTTAATTAATATATCGCACTCAATAACGTCACAGGCACTGGACCCACAGACAGTCTGGGAAACCTAGGAAAGGAAAATTCGACCCTCTCCCACGTGAAAAGCTTTATTATTTTATTTATTTATTTGACAGAGAGAGACACAGAGAGGGGGGAACACAAGCAGGGGCAGAGGGAGAGGGAGAAGCAGGCTTCCCGCTGAGCAGGGAGCCCGATGTGGGGCTCGATCCCAGGACCCCGGGACCATGACCTGAGCTGAAGGCAGACGCTTACTGACTGAGCCCCCCCGCCGCCCTGAGAAGCTTTAGAAAGAGTAGACTTGGTTCGTACCTGGCCCCGTACTTCCGGCAGCCCCTCCTCCACCGCCACTGCCAAACATGCCGCCGCCTCCGGCTCCAGCCCCACTCCCGCCGCCGAAACTATCTGAGAAATTAGGCATGAGCTTCTGCCGTTTCCTCTGCACTTCCTCTTTATCTGTATTTAAAGGAAGAGAAACCAGAGGAGAAAAGACTGATTCAATTCCACTACTAGCCACAGAAAGAATACTGATTCTGACGGTATTTTTAAACATCTTAAAGGGAAACAGAAGTCACCCAAGGAGGAAGAGATGCCAAATTTCAGGAAGCATTATATTTATTCCAATGGATCTGAAGCCTGAGAACTGGCCTCAGAGAGACCCCAGAGCAGTACACGCCCAAATCCCCTCCACAACAGTTTAAGTCCCAGGTGTCATTCAAATTAGTGAATGACTAGATTTCCCGTCAAAGGTTAAGATACCAAAGACACAGAATAAGAAAACCGTTATTGAGCATTTTCATTTGGTCATTCACAAACAATGACTAACCAACTACCACTGATAATGCCTCTACTATGAGCTAAGTGCTAGGGAGAACAAGAAGTGTGAATAGTCTTTGCTGTCAGGAAGCCCCCAATATATTTTCAAGGTTGCGGAGGGGGAGACCTGGAGAGAGAGAGCACCACAGTGCTATGTTCCTTAAATATATGGTGCGCACCAGTGTTCCAGGAGTTCAAGGAAGCACTTCTAGTAAGTCCCTATGGGCTGGAAAACTCAGGAAAGGCTTCCAAGAATCAACTTTATATCAGGAGAGGGCAACGGGAGGATGATGTGGAGATGGGATATAGAGGGAAAGTAATAAAGGAAGGAATGTGCACTGTGTGCTTCTGAGGCTGTAGTGGTTCCATTTAGCTGAGGTCAAAGTTGAGCAGGAGAAAGTCTTGAGAAATGGGGTGGATCAGGACCACCCTGTAGAGCTCTGGATCATGAACCGAAGGGGTTTACCAGCAGGAGAGCCACTACATGTTTCTGAACTGGGGGATGATGTGCACAGGGCGGTATTTTAGGAAGCTTCTTCTGTTATTGGTGCTTGGGACAAAATGAAGAGACAAAGCAAGAGGCAGAGATAGTCCAGACATAAGGAGATGGGGGCCGTTCCTTAGTGGGCACCATGATAATACAAGTGGGCGAACCCCAGAAATACCAGGAAAGAGGGATCGGTAGTCAGTGGTGACTGATGGGAAATGGGAAGCTGAAAGTCTAAGAGCACAACTTGACTAGAATACAGTGATGCCCATCGTGACTGTTGACTGTCAAGATCTAGACCCTCATTCCTTTTGTAGTTGCTGTTTTTCTTTTGCTTTTCACTCCCTGTTCTCACCAGCCCCACTGCCTTTGTGGTCCATTACAGTGTTCTTGTTTCTTCTTTCTGTTTCCGTTTCTTTCTCTTCTCTGGACTTCCTACCATAAATTTTTTTCTCCCTTTTCTCTTTTGGGCTAAAAGGGTGATGGAAGGTTTTTGTTTAAGTAAACAGCCAGTGTGGTGTTCTTTTTTTCAGTCAGCAGCCTGATACTTAACTACCGTCTTCAAGGTCAGTTTTGGTTAGTGTTTATGTTCAGAAAGATCTCCACTTATTTCTAATTCTGTGGTTGTTCCAGTCATCTCAGGGCTCGAAAGAATGCTCCTACTGATTACCTCACAGTGACCTTAGTGCCACTGGAAGACTGAAGCATGGAATAAGATATAGCCAAATACCCTTACAAATAATCGTTTAGAAACTGATCATGTCCAGACTTGTTAGGAAGAAGAAAGCCAATATGGGTCAACTTGAAGAGAATGTGCTTCCACTAGAAAGGTTGGCCTCAAAGTGGAAAAATTTTACAAATGTCCTTAATAAAGGTTTTGAATAGATTTACAATATTTTTCTGTCAGTTGTACTATAACCAACTAACAGTCATACTTATTACTCATCCTATATACAGTTGATCTCACATAAAATATTAATTCACTAGAAATACGACACATAAGAGGGAAGCAGACCACTTATTCATCTTCATGAATGTTACCTATTGACATGCTTTCTAGCAAAGAGATCATTTGGTATTTGCTATGTAATTCTTCTGACTTAGAAAACAGAGATGTTCAATGGTTATATTTCACTGTAAAATGGGAATTTCTGAGAGTCAATTAAAAATATTAACTATTTTATACCCATTTAAGATTTCAATGACAAGAAACTGATACGGAAAATTTCATTATGACAGGTTTTTAAATAAAAGAACCTGCAGTCTAAATTTCCCCAGAAATGAACATGGAGATTTTCCCACTGTGTTCATTTATCTTTGTGGTCTGCCTTTGACAGTGGCATCATGCGTTGTACTATGAAACATCAACCTATTCTAGAAGGGACCTAAGTGGTCACTCACTGCAAGCCCTCCTTCTACGAAGAAGAAATAGAAGCCAGGATGATTAAGGGACTTATCAGAGAGCAGGGCAGAGTAAGGATCAGATCCCAAGTCTAGGGAGCTTTCCATTTTTGGGGAAACATTCCAAAATATCACTGCTTCCTTTTTTTTTTTTTAAGATTTTATTCATTTGCTTGAGACAGAGACTGAGCAGGAGGGAGAGGGAGAGAGAATCTGAAGCAGACTCCATGCTGAGCGCAGTGCCCCATGCAGGTCTTGATCCCGTGACCTCAAGATCAAGACCTGAGCCGAAACGAAGAGTCAGACGCTTAACCCACTGAGCCACCAAGGCACCCCTCTGTTTCTTTTAATAATCGATGATTATGGTAATAGTTTAGTTCACAAACGTAAACTTTTAGTCTCTACCCTTTTTTGATGTGTGTATGCCTTAAAAGTACCTCATTCTCATTTTTCAGGTTCTAGTGTTCTAGTAAAGATGTCTGCATTCCTTTCATAATTTAAAGATTATGATTCTGTTTCTTATGAATCTCTATCTTTTCTGACTGAAAAATCACATGGTCTTTTTTTGCTTTCATACAGCAGTTCCTCAACTATCTTCTTACCTTTTCAATCATCCCTTTCTTATTATTTTGTCTTCCTTGAACCCAACCATCTCCCTGAAGTTTTTATAAGGTACAATGTCAATAACCATACAGGGTGCAGAGTTCTGGGATGGATGATTCTATACATTGAAAAGAATATGTTATATTTATTTGTCTGATGTCCTCCTTGATGGCACCCAACAAATTAATAGCCTTTTGGATGAGGAGGGCAACTTGGTTGGTCACTCAATAAGTCAGCTTTCATATTTACAGAAGCCAGGATATGGAAGCAGCCCAAGTGTCCATCGATTGATGAATGGATAAAGAAGATGTGGGATGTGTGTATGTATATATAATATGGATTATTATTCAGCCATAAAAAAGAATGAAATCTTGCCATCTGCAATGACATGGATGGAGCTAGAGAGTATAATGCTAAGTGAAATAAGTCAGTCAGAGAAAGACAAATACATGATTTCACTCATGTGAAATTTAAGAAAGAAAACAAAGAGAAAAAATAAGAAAGAGACAAATCAAGAAATAGACTCTTAATTATAGAGAACAAACATGGTTCCCAGAGGGGAGGTGGGGGGGGATGGGTGAAATAGGTGATGGGGATTAAGGAGTGCACTTGCTGTGATGAGCATGGGGTGATGTATGGAAGTGCTGAATCACTATATTGTACACCTGAAACTAACATAACACTGTATGTTAAGTAACTGGAATTAAAATAAAAACTTAAAAAAATAAGTCAGCTTTCAGATATATCTCAGCATCTATCAGATGACGTATATTAAGGGGTGCCTGGCTGGCTCAGTCAGTAGAGCATGCAACTCTTGATCTCAGAGTTATGAATTCAAGCCCCATGAGGGTATGGAGCCTACTTAAAAAAATAAAATATATGACATATACTGTTCTAGATGTTGGAAATGTAGCAATGAACATGAAAGACCAAATCGATGACCAAAAGGATATTCTTCGTATTGGAGATGGAAGAAGACAATAGATATACAAATTAATAAGACAATTTTATGTATTGATAAAAACAAGGAACAATACAAAATTAGGCAATGACATAAGGAGTGACTGCAGGGTCTGGGGCAGTGGAAGGTGTGTTCAATGACTTCTGAGAAATGTATACAATGATTCTCTGGGGTGTATAGTTTGGATTCGTTCTCATACACTTACTCTTACATTAAATGGCCCGCTACTTTTCGAACCAGTCATATGTCTGGTGTGATGATTGCTCCTTGCCATTATTTCATCCTGGGATTTTATAATCCAGAAGGTTTTATTGACTAAGATAATTTGTTACCTTCAATAAAATAGTTCTAATCTCACACGACTTAATCACAATGTATGTTGGCCATTCTTTCTGTGGGGCTCAACTTCTCTTATTTTTCCAGATGGTTCTTTTTATTTGTTTGTATTACATGGAACTTTTAGTCAATGACAGTCTGGAGGTGCTTGAAGCATACAGGTGGGGATTTTGAACTTTAAGGAGACCCCATTCTCTAACCCCAGCATCTGATAAATCCTATTATGAATGAATGTCTGAACATGCCCCCGCTGTATCTTACTCTTTTGATGAACAGACACCACTGGAAAAGGTAGACAGGCGGCCTAGAAACCAAGCTCAGCTTTGAATGTTTCTAGGCTCATACACGTGTAGGTAATCTGGGTATCCTTTTTAAACATAATTCTCTGTGTGAAAGAACTGACATTATGTGAAGATATATTTTAGGAGAAGAAATCTGTTTTTTCCCTCAGAAAGTACCCCCCAAATTAGCCATATTTTTCTTCTGTGTCTATTAAAGAAAAGTGTTTAATCGAAAGCAGTGATTTTCATCTTTATGCAGACTGATACACTTCGAAGACCTCAGGCTGTCACTGGCTGGAGAAATAAGGGGAGGTGGGCTTCTAGGGAAGGCCGAGTGGGTTGGCTCCCCACTTCCACTTTAACCAGAGCCTGTTGGGCATAAGTACTGGGATTTTGCATGACATTTTAGGTGGAGGGAGAAAAAAGGCTCTTCTGTTGACAATGTTTTCACACAATGGTAATGGAATGCACTATAAATTGGACCCATTGGTGGACAGGTCACAACCTCTGAAAAGAAACAAGAACGCATAGAATCATCTTCTAAATGTTCCTGCCACACTGTGAATTCTAGGAAAAGAAGCCCTCTTCAAGGATCCCGCATCACATGTGGCTATCACAGGATCCAACACCCATGTGCACCATCACTACGGCACCTTTGTGGCTTCTGACGTCAGTCAGGACATGACCTGTGACAATCATTTCACTGACCTCCCCCAATGGTCTCACTTCCCTCTAACCCAGGGGTTTCTGATTTTGTTTGTGTCATGACCCCTTTTTCAGTCTTGTGAAGTCTATGGATCTCTTCTTAGAATCATAGTTATCAATATGTAAAATACAAAATAGGATTATAAAAAAAGCTAATTATGTTAAAGTCCATTTCTATCCTTGGACCCTTTGGGGGTCAGTGGACTCCAGGCTAAGAAACATCTTTGGACAATTATCCCATTTAGGGGCCTATCATACTCATTCTGAGAGGATTCTCAATGCTGAATTTCCCACCCTGCTCTCTGGAGTTCCAGTCCTGCCTTTTGATCAGCTTATTAGGAATTTGCCAGAGAAACCTAAAAATGCAACATGTTTTAAACTGGGCTCCCTCTTTGCTCACTCAAACCTACTTTTGCTCCCTTGATTCTTTTACCAACTCAACCATGTAACAACCTTCCTCGGCTGGGATTCCTAGAAACATCTAGACTCCTGAATTTTTCCTTTACCTCCTACCTCAACCAGCATCTGGGTCTTCTTGACACCACCTTCTTCTTTCATTCTCTGTACTAATACCTTTATGAACCTCACCTTTTCTCACTTGGATTCTTGCATTACTCTTTGGACTCCTTGTCTGCTACTCAGATAGTCTCCTCAGTGTCCATGTAAGGATGTCAGAGCCATCATTCTAAATCCAAACAGGCCTGGTCATTCCCCTCTCCAGAATCAATCAGAATTCTTCAGCTGCCCATCACAGCACTTCTGAGCCTGGCCCTGGCCTTCCTTACCTGCCTTGGTCTGCAGTGGTCCATCTTGGTGCTCATAAGGCTCACTTCTTTCTGAACAAACACTAACTGTTCAGTTCCTCAAGTTTCTTAAGCCTAGGAAACCCCTACCTTCCCTGTTTCTCACCCAACTACTGAAATACACCCCCAGGCTGAAGAACCTTGAAGAAGCCTGCTTCTTGGTGGCTTCTTTCGAATCAAGGGTCCTCGGAACTCTAATAAGTGTTTTTGGATGCTTCCCTTTGGGAGTTTATCAAAATCCTAATTTGCATTATAACTATGTAAAGAGACTATTCTCTCCCCTTCTTGGGGTGTCTTTTGTGGGGAAAAGAATGATATTTTATTCATTTTTATGGTTCCGCACTGCATGGTGGCTGAGTCTCCCATTCTGTTGCCTGAGGCCAGTTGATGGAGTGGCTGATTCCCTGAACAGCCATCTTAACTGGCAGAACCCAAAGATCCTCAACAAATGGCAGGTTCTCAGATTCAAAGACCAATCCTAAAATGTCTAAATCTCATATAAGCTTGGTAAAAGTTAACACCATTTTGAAAGGCTAGACTTAATTCCATGATCCCCAAAATATTGTATTACTTCTCTCTTCTCTAAAAATAAATACCATGGGACCAGGGGCTAATTCCTAGGAAACCATTCAAAGGAAGTGGCCAATTGATCTTTTCTAATCAGCTTTGTCCTTTTATGGGAAACAGCACAAGATTGTAAGCAACCGAGTTACCTTTGATTTCAGGGTAGTAGAGAAAAGGTTTGGGTTCGCTAGTTTCCAAATCAGATTTCCTTCGAAGTTGGACAAACACGGAAGCTGGTTTTGTGATGTTGACATCTTTATACTTTGGAGTTTTGAAGACGATGGCGAACTGCAGGATACAAAGATCCAAATGTTGGGGTAGGTCTGTATTTTTTTTCCAGCAATGCTACTCGTTAAACGTATTCTTTATGCCCAATGTTTAGACAGAGTATACTAAAAAATACAGCATCCTAGAGAAAGTTACAAACTCAGAATTCTATGCCCATACGTTGTGATTAAATTGCCACTGTGCAATTGAAATACAAGTCTATGCTAATGTTTTGCAAATCTTTATTTTCATTTGTCTAATATTTCAAATGTCTTCCAGTTGTAAATAACCATGTGAGTAAAATACATTGCATACTCCTCTTTCTCTTCTAAATCAGCCTTAAAATGCTCCAAAATTATTTACAGCCACATCAGAAACCCTGGTTGTGGAAAGAGAGAGTGAAGAACGTGGTACTACAATCAGCCTGCAGGTCGGCCGACAAGGAGAGGAAGCTAAATGCTGCAAGGGAAACATGTATTTTCAAGTGAGGATGGCCAATGCTCTGACATCGAGGACATTCTGTAACACCTCTAAGCTAGCCTCCTCATTAATTTCTGGTAGTGTCACAACAGTTTGGCATTTTTACAGTTTCTTGTTCGATTTTTTGACTATGTAATGTATTCCCAGGGATCAAGACTTTGTAAAATATAGAAAGGTACACAGTGGCATACGCTGTGTCTGCAGACACCTGCATACACCTCTCCTGGCACTCCGATCCAGGCAGTTCCTACTCTGAGGAGGCCCCCAGAAGGAAACACAGTGACGCTACTCATTCTTTTTGTATTCTTCCAGAGACTCCTTATCCGTATACAAACACGAACAATTTTTTTATATGTACTTTGTTTTATATCTTTAAAAAGTTTTTAATGTTATACTTTTGAGATTTTTCCGTATTAGTTCATCGATTACTCATTCTCTTTAATAACTGCATAATATTCCCTCACACAGATACACCATAATTCATTTAACTGGCCACTTACTGATGGACATTTGGATTGTTTCCAATTTTGGGGGGTGAAAATAGTATTTCTCAATCACTCAGAGTGATTAAAATGCGAAACAGCATTTTCGCCTCTTGGTCATATCCTCAGTTGTCACTGGGAACTCCTGATTTATCATGATGATATCAGCCTCAAGTAGAACACTCTTCCTTTCAACACTTTTCATTAGAATATCTCTTTAACAGGTCTCACCATAATTACTCTGGTAGAACACCATAGCAGACGACTGCATCCCCTCAAAATTCACATGTTGAAGTCCTAATCCCTAGTGTGGCTATATTTGGAGAAAGGGCTTTTGTGGAAGTAATGGAAGTAATTAAGGTTAAATGAGGTCATGAAGGTAGTAGGTTGTGACTGGACAGAATTAGTGTTCTTATAGGAAGGGAAGAGACATCAGAGAGCTTCCTCTCTTCTCTCTGCCATGTGAGGACACAGCCAAAATGTGTCTGCAGGCCAGAAGGAGAGAGCTCTCACCAGGAATCAACCCTGTCAGGCCTTGATCTGGGACTTCTAGCCTCCAGAACTGTGATGAAATAAATTTCTGTTGCTTAATACACCCAGTCGATGGTATTTCGTTTTTTGGCAGTCTGAAAAGACTAATACCAATACTTAAAATATTTCCACTAAAGGACCCAAGGGCCATTGCCTTAATGGGTATGTGACCAGACACCCAAATGAAATGTCTTAACAAGGTCTCAGAGCCAGTGGTCCAAGGCTTTGCTCATAATTCTATGGTTGGTAACTTTTCTGAGAGACCTGCAAGAGTCTTAAAAAAGTAGTACTCTTTTATGAAAATTAAATAAGTATTTATGATTTTTCCTTTTTCATACATGGAGATTAAGTACTGAATTTCAATAGGACAGAAAATGTAAAATCATCATCACCACCATCATCATCCACTTACTTGTCTATGAACATCTGTGGGGGAAAAATCTCCAAATCCTTCCCAGATCCCACCATTTTCCTCCTCTTCATAAAATCGAATCTGGATGTCATCTGCCAACAGTCACATTCAGGTGTATAATTTCACATAGAGTAATAATATTGATAAGCATGCTGAAAAAATGCAGCTGGTTCGAGATTCTACCTACTATGTACTTAAACTTTTTAAAAATTAATATGAAATAGACTTTTGAATCATTTAAAATTTTCACAAATTACTGAATTTTTTTTTATTAGTTACCACAGTAATGGACCCTGAGTTTCATTTACATTGAGAGAATACTAGATTTACCTATTCAATCTGATTTTTCTCTTAATCAGTCTTTGATCTTCCCACTTCTCCATCACTAACCCAATTCATTCCTGAGAAACATGAAGGATACTGAGGAATATCAGAATCCTAAAAGGTGGTTCAAACTCATATAGATCTACATAATAATATTTAACTTATATAAAGTATACTATATGGCAGGCACTACTTTAAGTGATTTATATGTATACATGAACTGATTTCATCCTCACAATAACTGTGATGCAGGTATACTATTAACTGCTCATTTTGCCGAAGAGAAACTGGAATCCAGAGAGGTTAAGTGACTTATCCAGGCTGAATAGCTATTAAATGGAGAAGCCAGAATTTGAACACAGACTCCAGGCTCATAAACATTCTACTATGCTGCTTCCCTATAATACCTTACTAGTCCATACTGAGAAGCTGTTAAAAATATTATATTAGTCAAGTCCCTTTGGATGAAATAAGAATGTATAAATTTCACACTTGTGTCATGGATTCTACCTCTGCAGAAATATGATGATTTAACTCAGATTGGCATCTCCCTGGCTTCACTTCCCATTTTATAGGAAGGACTGTACTACTAACTTATGAAAACTAAGTTCATATTTCTATTTAAAAGAATTTTAGAAATATTAGGGTTGGATAAATCATCTCATTATCTCCTGGTCAATTCCTTTGCTTTTGGGTAGGACTAAACTGGACTTAGTTTTTCAGACTCTTTAAGCCAGGTACAGGACTTCTCTTAATAAGCCTTTCCAATGTAATGATAATGATTAAGAATTGCATTTATAAATAAAGGTAGTCAGATTGTTTTTACTCATTGAATGCACACATATTACCTGAGTAGAATGGGCTAAAAGAAGGCTGATACCAGGATATGCAGAGAAAGTGTAAACTTTTTTGGATAAAGATAGATATACTTTTACCTTAAAATTGGATTGTATTTTTTTCTGACTTTTAAATCTCAGGCCATTTGCCTCAAATGAGAGTTTTCTTTTTTTAAAGCCATCATTCTTTTGTTTAAGAGCTATATTTTTAGTTATGCACTCTTTACTTTGAAAATGCTCATCACTTTGTAGTGAGTAGATCTTTATTATACTATACTCTCTATCACTGTATTTTAAAAATGAGTTGTTTGAGAAAATAGCACAATCTCCTTCAGCTTTTGCTAATTTATAAATCTTGTACCATTACTAATGAAAGGTAAATGCCAAGAACCTTTCCTAAAAGTGAAAATTATGAGAAATATGCTGAGAATTTCCCTATAGTCCTTGTTCTCTTTTTCATAATGGACATCAGTGTCACATTAAAGTTTTAGAGAAGCTTTCTCAGTGTTGCAATGAAGCCTTATAAGAGAAACTAAATTAACAATTTTACACTATATAAAACATTATTTACTCTGTGTGCGTGCGTGTGTGTGTGTGTGTGTGCATGCAGGTGTGTGAAGCATGGGCTCTTACTCATTTATTTTAGTTTAACTAAGTTCAGATACCAAAGTTTAAAGTACAGAAACACTGAAATGTCACTGATTACAATGATCACTATTTTTTTTAATTTCTCTTAATTTCTATTGAAAGTTTTAAAATGAATTAGCTGGGTTTAAAAAAAAAACACAGACATATTTGGAAGAGGTGAATGTGTAAATTTTCTAAAGGAGTTCTATGGCAGAAGAGGCATATTACTGGATTTACTGCTAAAAAGTGACTCACAGACACACTCAGAATTACATTTCACATTTTGAGATCAGAGCATGTATTTACCTTTCTGAACCTTGTCACAGAGAAGATAAATCTCTTCCCCTCCAGTTACGCATCCAGCTGTCCTGTCCATTCTTACAATTTTCAAGTTGGACGCATTGGGGGCTTCTGTCCACAGGAGAAAAACAACAAACATCATGCTTTATCCTCAGCTTCATAAGCCAATCTCTTATGGGGAGCCCTGCCCCTAGCACACATTAACCAAAGAAAGTTAAAACAGTTTATCATGGTGAGCACTAAGCAAGGTATAAAACTATCGAATTGATATGTTTTATGTGTGAAAGTAATATAATACTGTATGTTAATTATACTTTAATTAAAAAAATAAATAGATGCTTTCACTTATATTGCTTTAACAAGGATACAAATAAAAAAGCTTTCAGAAGTCCTGAGAAGTCCTCACTTCTTGAGCATGGATCATTCATTACTACCATTACACGAGGCAGAAAGGAACAATATTTGTTTCTCCCACTAACACAGTAAGAAAGATTCATACAGAAAGAGAAAGAGCTTTTTTGATGTTTCAGGAAGTACCAAGCCAATGGATTTGTGGAATTTCATGTAGGTCAAGACCTTCAATTATTTCCATGATAGTGATATACTATTTACAAGAGTCTTAAAAATTTAGAAAAAGCACAATTTTCTTAAACTGCTTATAAATTCTTATCTTACAGAAAAGAAAAATGGAGAGGTTATAGTTCTTTTCCCCAGACTAAATTAGAATTCTGTGTGGTTAGGGGCAAAAGTTTCTTGTGGTAATAGTATAAAGCTTCCTTTTTTTTCCCCCCTCCCACAGCTGCATTTTAAGGTGATCTTTAGTATACAAGTCTACATCATTTTATAACTCTTTCACTTCCCTTCCAACTTGTTTAAATCAGAGAAATCGGTCAGTTGTATACTTGGGGCATGGAGTTTTCTACTTAGACCAAACTCTATAAAGTTTCAGTGAGCCTAAGTACCACACTTGCACCCTTTGATTTGTTTAATAAATCCCATGCATACCAGACAAGAAATCTGCAGGGTAAAGGCTGAAGACCATTGTAAAACTCTTAAAAAGTTCTAGGAACTACAGACTGAAATAGAATTTTGAAGTCACATACTGTCTAGACTACTCATTCAGTTAACTTGAAGTCCTTATCTTGATAAAAGCTAGAACATGCAAGAATGAAAATGGATAAAAATAATAGTTGTTTTTTTATTAACATCTCTTTAGAGCCTCAACAGAAAATATTGAGGTATTTTTCTAGAAGCACCGACAATATATCCTCATGCCATAAGTGATTCAAAGTAATAAGAGATCTGTCACCCTCAAATGGCACATAAAAGTCTAGCATGCACATCGGAGGAAGGAGAACCATATTTGTTGCGCACCTCGTAACATTCACTTTTAATCTAGACATCAACGTTTCAAGCTGGATTTTAGTATTCCCATTTTGTAGATGATAAATGTGAGGCTCCAAGTGATTAAGTTACTGGCCCTGGGACTCTGAGCTAATCAGTAACTGCCAGGGCTGGCTTAAGTCTGTACTTGACACTACACCGAGCTGCCTCGTGGTAGAAGTCAAGGACTCACTGCTGTCATAGATGGCGTCTGATACCACGGGTTCCAGGCGCCTCGTGAAGCTGCCGGTGCTATCTGGAAGAAAAGCTGTAAACATGAGCCGCACCACGCTGAGGTCCATCTCCTTTGTCTGCTGAAGAGCTGCCTGGCGGATGATCTCCTTTTCCCGATCTAGGACCATAGAGCACAGCGCATTCATGCCCAGGGAAAGAGTGAAGCCAGAACACTTTAGATGTTTTAATAAAGCCCAAAGAAAGAACATGAATTGAAAACAGAAATCTATTTTTTTCTTTTGAAAGTGTTTGTATTGCTAATACAATTTTAAAAACTGTCTCATTTATGTCATCCAAATTAAAGGCATCAGAAGAAGACTTGCATTTTCTCTGGATGATAGTGAAAACTGTCCTCTGTGTATCAAACTGCCTCTCTCCTTTCTTTTCTTTCCCTGACCTCTCCTGTTTCTCCCTACAGTTACAGTTAAAGGCACAAAAGATGTGAGGCCATGGAATGCAATAAGTTGATTATGCATCCGTTGTATTGTGAAATGTGAAAATTAAGTCTTCCAAAGGCTCCCAGAGCACAGGGACTGTGTTCACTCCATAGCGCCTAGCACAATGCCTGGCACATGGGAGGTATTCAAAAAGTGCTTCTGGAGAAACTGAATGACTCAACTGCATTTGACTCCTTCCTTGTCTCTTGACGGAGGCTGGGTTGCCTGAGTATCAGATGATGACAGGATGACTAGACTAATGGACAGTGTGTGAAAGCGGCAATGGCACATGTGGTAGGACAGGGATTGGGGTTGAAAGAAAAAAATATAAGTAAAAGCAGGGAAACATAAAATTATAGCATTTTTACCAGAAAGAATAGTTTATGATGTGTCTGAATAGCCTGAAGAGATTCTTTCTAATAAGGTGAGCCAGGGGAGGTAAAACAGAGGGAACTAAAACAGAGGAACTAAGTGTTGGCTTATGCATTGGTTATGACAGGCTGTAAAGGGCAAGGTGCGGTGTTTTAGGTCGAGGAAGACACATATGAAGGTATGAATCTGCATATCTGTATGAGTCTGTTCAGGGGGCAGTGATGGGGAGAGGGGCGTATGTGGTGGGACTGGAGATAAGGCTGGAAAGGTGGCTGGGGCCAGATTGATGGCTTTGTATACCAGGCCAAGGAGGTACAGATTTTATCTAGAGAACAGTAGGATGCCATCAAAGGTTTCTGAGCAGGGAAAGTGTGTTGGCAGCTTGGGGTACAGTCTGGGAGAAGGAGAAACCTGGGGCAGACAGATGAGCACCTAGTCTACACACAAGCAAAGGAGAGCTGATCTCAAAGGATCAAGGCTGGGAGCATGACACTCACCTGTGAGCTGCCGGTCTCCTCCACCTTCCGCTTGCAAATAGGCAAGATCAGGATGCACCAAAAGTCCAGGATTATAGCCCTTTGTACATGCCTCTGTCATTCGTGCTTCCAGTGTTTCAAATACTTTTTTCTTTGTCACATGAAGTATACCCAAGTTTGCAAAGCTGGAGAAAAAACAGTAACAGCAACAATCACCCCCAAAAGTTAGGCCGTCAATGACGAGAGTCTGGTTTTACTTTAGCAAAGTGGCTTTTAAAAAAATACACAAGCCCTCAATCGCTGGAGTCCACACTATAATCAAACACATTACTATGTCTGCAGTGAAACATATAAAGCAGACTCACCAAATGGAATAATAAAGACTATAAACCACTCCACATCAGGTCAGACTGGGTTTTGCCACCAAATGAGTCTGTGGCAAACTTAGCAAAATCTTTTGGTTTTCAGGGTTTATTCAACTTTCAAACGATGATTCAGGGAGTGGGGTGTACACACACACACACACACACACACACACACACACACACACATATATATGTCTTGGTAAGGAAGTTTTACCTAGACTCATTTTGAAGTATTTTCTAGGAGAATTTTAAATTTTTAAAAATTTTAAAATTTTAAATTTAAAAAAAAAATTAAAATTCTGAATATAGTACTAACTTATCTAATTCTTTTAAAGAATAAGAGGAATATTATAATTGGAAGGATTTTTTTTCTTTTGGCTCATCCTTGGGTTTCTGGAGGGGCTTTAAAGTCTATAGTGGAGTCCCATCTCCTTGCGGGTTATCTCTAAGGCTGGAATTACTTATTACCACTAGAATGCCGTCTAACGCTACATGTTTTCAGGACGGAGAACCTTTTATCTTGTGAAGTCTACATACATTTTGGGCAAAATATGCTAATAACCTAAATAAAACAAGTTAAGGGATTTTAAAGAAAAGGCATAAATTACTCCAGCCATTCATTTTTTAAAGTACACGGAACAGCGTTCGTTTTGGCAGCACATATACTAAAACTGGAACGATACAAAGAAGATTAATTAGCATGGCCCCTGAGCAAGGTTGACATGCAAATTCGTGAAGCTTCCATATTTTTAAACCATAAGAGACTCTTAATCTCAGGAAACAAACTGAGGGTTGCTGGAGTGGTGGGGGGTGGGAGGGATTGGGTGGCTGGGTGATGGACACTGGGGAGGGTATGCCCTATGGTGAGTCCTGTGAATTGTGTGAGACTGAAGAATCACAGACCTGTACCCCTGAAACAAATAATACATTATATGTTAGTAAAAAAAATTTAAAAAATAAAGTACATGAAACAAAAAAGTATACTCAATAAACATAATACAACGAACAAAAAAGTACTTTACCAAGGAGACCCATTCATTCAACAAATATTTGTTCAGCTCCTTATTAGTGCCAGGCAGTGTCCCAGGTGCTTTCGTCAGCACCCAGGAATATATTCACCCTTCGTAGAATTTATATGCTAGTGTAACCAAAGAGAAGAAACAAAGAAGAGATGTTACAGTATAATTTAGAAGGTAATAAATGCTACCAAGAAAAATAAGGTAGGAATGGAGAAAAGGAAAGGTAGTAGTAGAAGACATGATGTTTTAAAATAGGGAGAGGCCAGAAAAAGTCTCATTGAAAAGATGACACTGAGCAAAGACTCAAACAAAGTGAGCGAAAAGATGTGGATATATGGAAGAACAGTGTTCAAAGCAGAAGGAATAGCCAGTGCCAAGACCCTGAAGTAGGACCATAACTCGTGTTTTCAAAAGACAACAATGGCAAGAAGGCCGAAGTTACTGGAGGAAAATCAACAAGAGGTGAGTGGTAAGTGAAAAGTTCAGAGATAAGTGGGCACATAGATCTTTTAAATCCCTGTAAGCTTTTGCAAAGACTTTTCTTTTGCTCTGGCTTTTACCCAGAAAGAAAGAAAAAAGATTAGTAATGGAAGACAAATATTATGACAACTGGACTAGATGAAATAAAGAATAAGATAGTGTGGGAAGACCAGATGAACCAGAAGAAGAAAATATAGGAGGTGAAGGCAGAATGAGATGAGCGTTCATACAGAGGCCCAGAGACACAATGAGAAACATGTCCAGATAGTGACAGAAAAAAGTAGGACATGAAGTAGCATGATGTATAAATCTGTCAAATCACTATGTTGTGCACCTGAAACTACTGTAACATTGTGTGTCAATTATACTAAAAAAAAAAGGTAGAATAGCTGAGACACACAGAGAAGAAAACAGACCAACAGAATATAAGCTCCTGATGGCAAAGATCTCCAGTGCTTAGAACAGTTCTTGACATATGGGTGTCTAATAAATGTCTGTTGAATAAATGAATGCATGAATTCATACAGCACGGAAAAATACGCAACATGACATCGTGAGATATGCACGGAAGCACCGGCAGTTTTCCAGAAACAACACCTTCATCTTTTGGCCTTTAGGCTGTACTCCTATGTAGATCATCCACCACTACCTACGTATAGGTAGTGACAGTGACAAACACCTATGTAACACTTTACACTTTACCATATAGAAAGTGATTTTCATGTATATTATTTAATCCCTATTAAAAGGGCATCTTTTATGTGACTAATTTATTTACTCTGGTAATAAATGAAACAATAATATATAAATAAATAATAATAATAAAAAAACAATAATAAATAAATAAATGAAACAATACAGAAGCCAATCTTCTGTTTCAGATAATGATGGGAGTAACAGGGACCGTATTGAACCTTTAGCCTTGAGTAACATAAAACACATGAAAAAATGGTTTTCCAACACTGGACAACAGGCAGCACAGGATAGTGATCCTTAAGAAAAACAACTAAGGTGACTCTTAAAATAATGCTGGGTTAATGCCTAGAGTTTCCAGGCTGCAGCATAGGAAGGGAGACCTAAACAGGACCTGGTAATCTCCCTGAGTTTTGGAGACAGATAAAAATTTGAGGAGGCTAAAGAGGCTAGAATTCACAGGCAGAGAACCAGAGAAGAAAGAACCATATACTGAGAGATATTCAGAGATGTACAGTGGCCCTGCCTTGAGTCTTCAGCTAAGTACTGGTCAGAACATGTGTGTGAGGAAACAACCAGAGACTGGGGGGGAAAAACCACCAGAAAGGAGCAGGCAAAACATTTCTCAGAGCACAGTGGGGCTGGAATAGTTCAATAAATCTTGTAATACATGAATCATCAGGATGAATATTCAGAAAGTTATTGGCTTAGTAATGGTGTCAAATTAACCTCAGACTAAAGGTTGATCTGGTTTTCCTAACAAAGCTTAAAAGTCAGTCCAGAAAGCATCAAACTGTTTGCAAATTTAATTTCATTCCAATGTTCAAAAATATTTAAAGGCATACAAAAAAGCCAGCATGCAACAACCTAAAATTCAAAATGTATACCAATCAATCAAAAGTTACCAGGCATGCAAAGACACAGAAAAATACAGCTTATAATGAGAATAATGACTCAATAGAAACAGATCCAGAAATGAGACAGAACACAAAATTTGTAGATATGTACATTGAAATAGCTATTATAGATATATTCCATATGGTTAAGAAGGTAAAAAACTTTAATATGTTAAGGAGTACTTGCAAGATATAAAAGAGACGTCAAACAAACCTACAGAGATTAAAACTGTAATGGCTGAAAACAAAAATACACTAGATGGAATTAAAAACACGTTAGACACTATAGGCTAAAGGATTAATGTACTTGAGGACACAGAGAACAATCCAAAATGAAACACAAGAAAAAGAACAAGTTTTAAAAATAACAGATCACCAGTGAGCTATGGGACTTTCAAACAGCCAAATATACAGATAATTGGTGTTTCAGAAGAAAAGGAAAAAGAGGAGTGGATGGAAAAAATATTTTAGAAAAATAATGGCTGACATGTTTTAAAATTTAATTAAAAACTTTAAACCCAAAGATCTAAAAATCTTAATGAACCCCAAAGCACAAAAAAGAAAACATGAAGGAAACTATGCTAAAGCCCATAATAAAATTGCTTCAAACTAGCGAAGGGAAATGAAAATTAATGAAGAGAAAATCTGAAAAGCTGATAGAGAAAAAAATGACACACTATGTGAAAAGGAACAAAATACCAAAATGACAGCAGACCTCTTGCTGGAAACAAGGCAAGCCAAAAGACCCTGGGGCAGCATATTTGAAGAATGTGAAAGAACATTGTCAACCTGGAATTCTATACTCTTCAGAAATATCTTTCTGAAACAGAGACAAAATAAGGAGTTTAAAGATGTATGACAACTGAAGAATTTATCAGCAGCAGATTAGCAGAAGAAAAAGGAAAGGAAGGGCTTCAGGCAGAAGAAAATGCTACCAGACAGAAATCTTGACCTATGAAAGAGAATGAAGAGCACTGCAAATGATAAGTAGGTGGTTAAATATAAATACTTTTTTCCTTATTTAAAATTTCTTTTAAAAGATAATTAAGCATGCGGTCATTCTGGAAAACAGTATGGAGTTTCCTCAAAAAGTTAAAAATAGAGCTACCCTACAACCCAGCAACTGCACTACTAGGTACTTATCCAAAGGATAAAAAAATAGTGATTCAAAGGGACACATGCACCCTGATGTTTATAGCAGCAATGTCCACAATTGCCAAACTATGGAAAGAGCCCAGATGTCCATCGACAGATGAATGGATAAAGAAGATGTGGTATACATATATATACAATGGAATATTACTCAGCCATCCAAAAAAATGAAATCTTACCATTTGCAACAATGTGGATGGAACTAGAGGGTATTATGCGAAGTGAAATAAGTCAGTCAAAGAAAGACAAATACCATATGATTTCTTTCATATGTGGAACTTAAGAAACAAAACAGATGAACACAGGGGAAAGGGAAGGAAAAATAAAATAAGATGAAAATTGAGAGGGAGGCAAACCATAAGAGATGCTGAACTCTAGAGAACAAACTGAGGGTTGTTGGAGGGGAGGTGGGTGGAGGATGGGGTTGTTGGGTGACGGGCATTAAGGAGGGCACTTGATGTAATGAGCACTGGGTATTATATGCAACCGATGAATCCCTAAATTCTACCTATGAAACCAATTAAAAAAAAGATAATTGAGCATTTAAAGCAAAAATTAAAAAAACAGTATATTGTGGAACTTATCACATCTGTAGATGTAAAACAGAGCACACAATAGTACATAGGCTGAGAGAGGAGAAATGGAAGTACTGTTCATATACTATATATGAAAAAGTATAATGTTACTTAAAGGTAGACTATGATAAATTAAAGATAGTATAGGAAGCTGTAAAACAACTTCTAAAAACTGTAAACCAAAAGGGAGATAAAATAATAGCAAATAATTAATCTAAAAGAAGACAGAAAAAAGAGGAAAGGGGGAACAAAAATCAGATAAGATAAGCAGAAAACAAATAGCAAGATGGTAAAGTGAAACCAAACCCTAGCAATGATCAGATTAAATAGAGATTATTTAAAGACATCAATTAAGAGGCAGAGAGTGTCAAATCGAATAAAAAAAGAAAGACCCAACTATATGCAGTGCATCTTTACTCTGAATATAAAGACACAAATAGGTTAAAACTAAGAAGATGGGCAAAAAAATTAATGCTAACATTAATCAGCAGAAAGCTGAGGGGCGCCTGGGTGGCTCAGCTGGTTAACCATCTGCCTTTGGCTCAGCTCATGATCCCAGGGTCCTGGGATCGAGCCCGGAGATGAGCTCCCTGCTCAATGGGCAGTCTGTTTCTCCCTCTGCCGCGCCCCCCTCCACCGCTTGCGCTTTCTCTCTCCTGCATAAATAAATAAAATCTTAAAAAAAAAAAAAGGTGAAATAGCTATATATTAGTATCAGTCAAGGTAGATTTTTTTCTTTTTTAAAGATTTTATTTATCTGACAGAGAGAGAGGGAATACAAGCAGGGGGAGTGGGAGAGGGAGATGCAGGCTTCCCGCCGAGCAGGGAGCCCGATGTGGGACTCCATCCCAGGACCCTGGGACCATGACCCGAGCGAAGGCAGATGCTTAACGACTGAGCCACCCAGGCGCCCCTAGTCAAGGTAGATTTTTGAGCAAAAAAGTATTACCAGGGATAAAAGGGGGTCATCTCATAACCATAAAAGGATCAATTCATTAAGCAGACATAAGAATCCTAAATGTTTATGTATCTAATAAAAGAGCTTCAGAATACAAGAAACAAAATCTTATAAACTGGAAGAAGAAATAGATATATCCATAAATATCATCAGAGATTTCAACACCTGTCTCTCAATAACTGATAGAACAAGTAGGGAAAAAGTCAATAAGGATACAGAAGCCTTGAACAACACTATCAAACAACTTGACTAAATTGACATTTATAGAACATGCATTCAACTTGATTAGACTAATCATTCTTTTTAAGTGCACAAGGAACATTTACCAACCACACCATATTCTGATCCGTCAAACAAGTCCTCAAACAAGACTTCAGATCTCTCTAAATCAGGGCTGCCAGGAAACAGAGGGTGTGGTGATTATTGGTGAGGAAGGTGGCTTAAAGCAAAGTCAAGTAACAGTTTCCATTGATTGAAAATTTCAGAGAACTAAAATGCTGTTGAAATAAACCGTCGATATTCAAGGTCAAAAATAAAATACCGAACTAAAATTATTTTTATGAGGACAGGCACTAAAAGCTAACTAAATAAATAATAAAATGTAAAAAATTAAAGCTAAATAAAAACAAATTTTTAAAGGCAAAATCCCCCAAATGTAAGCACTCAAACCTACAGTTGTGACTCAAGTTATCTAAAACATGAATATTTTAATCTAGATAACGAAATATCTTTGAAAATAGAAACTAAATTTTATTGAGAACCCCAAAGAAAAGTATTTCTTTGGCTTTGATAATTTATTTTTTTAATTTGCTTTTAGTTTTTAAATTTTAATTCTAGTATAGTTAGCATATAGTTTTGTATTAGTTTGAGGCGTACAATATAGTGATTCAACACTTCCATACATTACTCAGTGCTCATCAAGATAAGTGTACTCTTAATCCCCTTCATCTATTTCATCCTCCCCCCAACTTCCCCTCTGGCTTTGATAATTTAAAGGTTATTTATCTCCCCTGAGTTATTCCATATATATTCTTTTTGATATGTTGGATTGGTGCCCTGCTCATGAATATATACTCTTAGCCTAAGCTGTATTATTGAAGACAGGTTATCTTGGTTCCATTTCTAGTATTGACAAGTCTAAGGAATAACTCTGGCTATCTTCCTAAATTTCCCTAGGTGCTATTCTTACCTACAAGTTGGAACCAAATAATAGTAATCGATGACATTCCATAAATACATATGTTGCAAGTCAGCTCATGTTGTGTCATAATATTAGCTAATGTTAGCTCAGTCTGCAATTTTTGAGAGGTAAAGGGCCTGGAGATAAACTCTGTAGCCCAACACTCATATTTTATAAGGGAAGGATTGAAAGTGCTCAACAAGTCATATAAATTGCCCCTAACCCTACTGCTGAGAGTGACAGAAATGAAAAGAGAATTCTGGTTTCCAGACGACTAGCATATTCTCTCTACTAAAATGCAACAGGTTCTGACATTAGAAACTTAAATAAATAGATAAATAAATAAATGGGACAAATCATGAAGGAATTGCTGTATTTTAGAAAACACTGTAAGCAAAAGTTTCTCAACTAAAAATCAATTATAAAGGGAGTACCAGTGTTTCATAGAACGCTCTAAATAAGAAAGTCTACTGAGTCTGTTGTAACTCTTACGTGGCATCCTCTTGACTAAATTTCTTATAGGGGTTACAAAAATCCCACAGCGTTATGATGAGACATCTTGATGATCAAACTTAGGAGTGAAGATGCTCAAAATGTTTGCTGAATGAATGAGTTCTCCCAGTGACAGAACCCCACTGCAGGAAAGTAAAGGATTTTCTTCCCTACCTTAGAAACAGGGAACTTACTTCTATTCCCGCTGTCGGTTTCAAACCAAATAACCATTAGTTCCTTCTAAAATCCTAGAAGATTACTAAGCCAAGCCACAGAAACACCAAATTATAGACAACATACTGGCCGTTTTATAATAACAAATATTATTAGCAAGGAACTTCATCTACAATTTCCTCTAAAGGATATGATTATCACACAGATTAAACAGGACCAACACTTCAAACTGACAGCACCCTACTCGGATAAATCCGCAGAAACACTAAGTGATCAATTAGTCTGAAACTCTGACAATTACCCTGCATTTCAAAGCTCTCATAGGTCAGCCGGGAACTGTAAGAGTATTCCAAAACAGACGATGAACCAACTGTGATAGTCAACAGGAAACAGGCCAGCCTTTCAAGAGAATGTTGAAACAAGTTCATATAAAGCACAACTGAATTTTTCAAATCAATTTAAGCTTCTTCCTCCAATCTAGAGTCTTTTTTTTCTAACATCAAAAGAATCAGATTTTAGTGACTTAAAAGAAAGCTCTCTCTCTAGGTTTTTCACACTTGAATATTTTCACAGTCAAACAAAGAAATACCTAGGAACATGAAAGCTCAACCTCCCCAATACCAACCAACTTAAAACTTGATTGGAATTCAAAGCCTGAAATGCTTACTTACGGCTGATTTAAACAATTCCTTTCTTTTGAGCGAATAGTCCAGATTAACTGGGATTTTATCATTAACTGTTTAAACCAGTATTAGGAAACCCTAAAAGGATATTCTTAAGAATTAAAATTAATTTAAAGTTTCTTACTCCTTTTGGGCTGAATTTATTTTACAATCTTTCATTCATTTAAAATTGCTTGTTCTGTCTAACTCTTAAATGAGTATGTCCCTTTGTATTTACATTTCAAGTCTAATGAATGCCAAAACAAATTTGCATTCCTGCACTTTTTCTCTGTGTACACTTTCTAAATAGCAGAGAACTGAAACAATATTTATCTTTTTCATGCTCAAAATGTTCACCCTATAAATCCGGACTCAATAGTTCATTAAAAGAATCATCAAGAGTATAAAACCGTCTATAAGGTGTTTATTTCTGCCATAGTTCGGTTTCTTCTAATTTGTCTTTATCTTTACTTCCAGAAGGAAGATACAGCTAAAAGTGGCACAAATGCCTCATAGGTTAAATGACCATATAATTTATCATCCAAACTGGGCCACTTCTGAGACTAAAAGGGGGTCCTATAAATAATTAGGCCAGAACCACCATGCAAACTCAAAAAAACCCAGACATGCGGGTTTCTTTTTCCTTGGGAGTCCAAGTGAGAGTTCACAGTTTCATCTTAAGGACCTCTGAGAGTTTTGGGAAGGTTCCTAATGAAAAGGACATATTCAGTCAAAGTCCCCAGGTGCCATGTTGCATCTGCTCCTGCCTCCCACAGTATCAGACACCCTCACTTACCCGACCACCATGTCCTTGGGTCCAGCAGTTACAGTGCAGATCCCATCCTCACAGTGTTTTCCCACCAGGCTGTGTGCATGCAGGTGGATGTTTTTCCCATTTGTGACCAACTGAACAATAACCTTTGCAGGTCCCACATAGTTGCAGATCTATGTAAGAAGCACATTTAAAAAGTTAGTACATCTGACCATACTGCAACATGGAAAAATGCTTATGACAAACCAGTAAGTGTAAAAAAGTTGGATACAAAATTGGGCATACCTGTACATATATGACCACAGTTCCATTTTTTAATAAAAAATATGTGATGAACAAAGGACGGGATGGAAATAAAGTAAAATGCTAATGCTGGTTGTTTTGGGTATGGAGGATATACTCCAGGAAGCAGGCCACTTAAAATGTTGCATGTATTGTTCAAGTTGGAACAGCACTTCGTAGACGATGCTGTGTGGCCATGAAGCATCCCCCTTCCTATGAGCCGAGAACACATTTTCATCTGTACCCTCATCACAACTTTCAGTCATGAATGAATGCTGGGTAAAAGATCCATGGGAAGGGAAGTGGCGTTGATGGATTGATGGAAATCGAGGGAAGGAGAGAGGGAAGCAGAAGCAATGTAACCCCAAGTCTCTGCCATGAGATTAGGCAGGAGACACAGTCCTGCCAGGGACCTGGCTCTGAAGGTTGGCCATGGATATCCAAGCCTATGGACTTGGCCTGTGGTGATCTGTCAGGACACTGCAGCCTTCATCAGCACTCTCTGCTATGAGCTCTGATAACTGAGTTACATATGTCCAGGTAATAGTAAGTTTCTTCAATTCAAGTAAGTGCACTCCCTACCTGCCAATCCTTAGGTCTGACACCTATTTAGCTCTTGTTTTATAAAACCAGATTTTTCTATTTAAGGTCATTTATCTTTTTAACTGTCATACTTTTAAAATGATGACAGGAGCCATAAGAAGGAAGTAGCATGGAGAAAAATGGCATTTTAAAGCAAAGACAGCTTGGACACCCTTTCTCTTCCAGTTGGTCCTCCAGCCCCCTCTAGTAGACCACGGATTCCTCCCTTGAGAAAGCCCCAGTACTAAAATCATACTAACAGAATGGACCAACGGCCTTATTTTTACTTTCCTGAATCCTGTAAGTCAGAATACTGTGATAAATTCAGCCAAACTATTGAAAATGCACTATATTTCCTTAAAGGGTAACCAGCCATCCTGGTTTGCCTGGGACTGAGGGGGTTTCCAGGGCTTTCAGGGCTAACACTGGGAAGAGCTGGTCATCCTATTTCCCTAGCTCATCTTGTCTCTTTTTGAAGAAGTGACTGACCTAAATCCAGGATCTCCCAACCATACAATCATCAGAAATATTTTACTCTGTACAAGCAGCCCATAGCTTAGAAGGAAAAGAAAGTAGACCAAAATCCCATCTAGCAACGAATCCTTGATGGAAGTCTTTCCAACATTAACTTGAGGAAGAATCTACACTTGCCAATAAAATTTCTTGGGAAAAAGACAGAATCCCCTTCAACCAGTCTACTTCTACTATAAATATCATCAAATGGATTCATATTCCATTGAAGCAGGGTTTTGTTAGGATTTTTTCAATATGGATTTTTTCCCAATGCAATCTCTCACTGCAAGAGTTGAGGAGAAGTTGATCAGAGCTGGGATTGTCTGGCAGAGGGTTTTGGGGAGAGAAATTTCCCGCCCTGAGCAAAGGACAGAATCCTTTCTAATCAACAGTATAGCTCCCCTGGAAACACTAGGGCCTCTCTGCCTGAACTTTGGCCCAGAGCTGCTGCCAAACCTTCCCAAGAAGAAGGCCTTTCCCATGAAGTGGCCTCCTGTCCTTGCAGAGCAAGCTCATGACAAAGAATGCTGAGGATTAAATTTGGATTTGACTGCCACCTCCGAGCACAAATAATTTCTAGAGCAGGTATAGCACTTAAAAAAGCCTTCTGGGCATAAAGATAATTATGAACTTAGTGCTATCCCTTTTAAAACAGGCAGAAGAAAGTCTTTGCCCTTCAGGGCAGGACAGGAAATGAAAAGTTCTGGGTTTGCTCCAAACTTGGTTGTTGTGCCTGCAATAGTCCCTGGATTGCCAATGCTGGTTCTGGGCCTTGGTGTCAACATGTGAAATCAGCCTTTGTTATGATGACATATTCTACAGGGACTTCTTTAGCAATAAATGAACAGTGAAAAGCACTCAATAGACCATGTAATTTTACTCCTACGTGCTCGGAGCACAGGAATGCAACAGTGTAAGGCATGATGAAATGCTTCACTTGGGTGAAATCAGGTAGGCTCTCCACTTAAGCAGAACACCAGAAAGAATCTAGCAATTAGAGCCCAATGCCTTTGGATACCAGGACCCTTCAATGTCACCACTCTGAAGGAATCAGTCACTCTGAAGGAAAGAGTAGGAGGTGTCCTCAAAAAGTACTCACATCTTTTCTTGCTATTACTTCATGACTGAAGGGTGGCAAGAATGAGGAACTGAGTAGTCTCTGAGGTAAAAGGACCTGAAAACTTTGCCAGTGACTAATGTGCAGTTTGATCCATTTAAAAGACTTCAGGTCAGCATGGCATCATCTGGTTTTTACACCGACCACAGGGCAACGACAGGGAGGCCCCTGGGTTTTGTGGACTTTCCAAAATACTGACTGAAAGAAGAAAGCTGAAGTGTGGGGACAGAAAAAAAATGATACTATTTTCAGGTTGTATGGCAAATGAAGACAATGGAATTCTAACTTAGGGGAGGGCATACTTCAGAGAATGCTGCCATGACTGAAAGCTATTTGCAACTGATCCAGAAATTCATTTGTTCTACACAGAATTTGGTTATTTTTATTCAGCCTCCCTACTTCTTTGAATAGTGGTTCCCTTGAAAATTAAGTTTACAGAAAGCAACTGTATCTGCCAGGAAGGCTGGGTTATTTTTGAAAGAGTCTGAACATAGCAGGCTCTTACATGCTAAGGGCTTAAATACAAGTTAAGCTTTCAGTGAAGCCAGGGAGACAAAGGTGAAAATGTGAGTAATTGGCTACCAAGGGACACTGGAAGAGCGTGTACTTCAAGGGCAGACTATCCAGGTCTGAAGACAGTTCCACCATTTACTAGCTGTGTGACCTTGGGCAGTGTTCAGTTCCTCATCTGTAAAATAGGGATAAAAATAGGGCCTTGCGGATTTGTTATGAGGATCAAATATGTTAAAGTTTTTAGAACGCTGCCCAGTAAATAAGAGCAATATACAGTGTTAACTATTATCTTATTGATTACCGTAATGTACTTCCCTACCTAGAGATATAACAGCCCTGAGATGATTTTTTTAAATTCCCGTCTAAAGGCAGGGGCTGGAATAAATGACCAATTCAAGTCACTTTTGTTCCTAGGGTTAAGTTTTTGTTTTTTCCCAGAGTGCCATGTTTTATTGGGCTTTGTTAATTTTTTAGTAATAAATTGTGTTATTATAGAACAGCTATCATTCTTGGAGGTGCTCAGGATTTCTCAGCTTCCTTGACGAAATTAAACCTTTCTTCCAGGAGCTTTATGACACAATAGTCCTGACGACCACAGGCTAGATCTGCTTTTTGAGTAAAAAACAGAAACCTAGTGTCGCATATAATACCAAACTTAGTCAAATCACCTCCTTTTATTCAAAGTTACTCAAAGTTACTCTCTGTCATGCTCTAGTAAAGTTCATACTGGTTCTTAAAAGGTGACTAAGAGAAGTAGCCCAAAATTTTCTGGGAATCAAAATTTGAAATGTCCGGTTTACTAACTGAGGAAATTTGACCGAATCACTTTGGCAGAAGAGTAACATGAATGTGCAACGTGACACACGAAGGAGTTCTTTTCTGCTTAGTTTTTCTCATGAAGTGATAACCATGATGATGATAAGTGACCAGAAGGAGGAGGGAAAAAAATCCATAATTTTCAAACAGAAATCTATTAGGATAGATAGATCCTTCTGGTCACTTATCATCATCATGGTTATCATTTCATGAGAAAAACTAAGCAGAAAAGAACTCCTTCGTGTGTCACGTTGCACATTCATGTTACTCTTGTGTACCTAACTTTGTACTTGTGTACCTAACTTTGTCCCTCTTCCGCTAAAGCAACGGGGCAATCTGATTCAATACAAGAGCTCAGACGTCAAGCTGCCAGGCTCAAATTCCTCAGTTGCCACTTATTCTATAGCTGGGTCAATAGGGAAAGATGGCTAACATCTCTGGACATCAACTTCCCCATCTTTAAAATGAAATGAAATGCACTTGATTTCACAAGTTGTTTTTAAAGATTAAATGAGTGAATACCGCGCTTGCACCTAATGGGATTAGCAATCTCAAATATAAACCCTTTCTCCTATCCAGACTATTACTTCACTGAAAAGCAAAACATATCCATTTATTCAGTGAATGTTTCTTAGGCCCCTTCTATGTTTCATGCACTACAGCAGGTTGGGGAATGAAGGGATACAATGTGAGTGCAAAACAGACATAACCTCTGTTCTGATGGGAATTAAAGAGCGGGGCTGATAGTCCTCAAAGAAACTCACAGAGAAATATACACACCTAACTGTGAAGCCATTACAAAAGACATATGTAATAGGGATCTGACCTGGTCAGAAGTCAGAGAAAGGTTCCTGAGGGAGCAATGAGCGCTGAACTCTGAAAGAGGGGCAGGAGTGTAACAAGGGAAGGGGTGGGTAGGAGACAGCAGGTTGAGAACAGCATGTACAATGGCTCTGTGGTGAGAGTCCTCCTCACTGTCCCCCCCAAGCCATACTCATCACCAACTTCTTAGGGTTTCCTGCAAGTGGTTCCAATCTCCCCAGGGGTGTCCCTCCCATCTCTTCCCTATCTAGAACCACTCGTTCTTCAAAGGTAGGACCTAAATATGCATCTTCCATGGCACTCTCCTCACCACTTTAGCTCACAAAACTCCACGACTGTCCCCTTTGGGGTGAATGTGATTGGAATGGGGCAGGAAAAGCAAATGCAACTTATTGCAACAAGAAGATGGTAAAACCAATGGGCAACTTAAGGGTTATTGGCTTACCTCTCTTGCTTGTTAAACACCCAGAGCACATACATCTATACCTCCTAACTTACTGTTCTTACGGAAGGCAAGGGAACGTGTTA